CAAATTGTATTGTGAGGTGACTCAAAAATATAGTTTTTTGTATTAAATTTAATTGGAATTAGAGTTTCGAACTCAAAATCAATTGAAAATGAGGCAACAAGCTTTCATTTCTCAACAGAGGACACAAACCCTTAACATGCCCCATCATGCGCAGCATCAATCAAGCCAAATACATGACACAAACATATATATCCCACACCTCTGTGAGATATATCATAGACAACTTGTGGAACCAATGTTGTAACCCAAAACAAAAATATACATTAAGAAAAGACATACTTTTATGTTTGTTGCATGTCAATGAATAAATAAAACTTGTGAATTGTCGTGATATGCTGCGTACACTAGCTGTTACATACTCATACTTTCAGCTTATTTAACTTGTATACAGGACAGCACGTGTTCCATAATCCATATCATAACAAATTATAGTGGTTCCATCTAATTCTAATACGGACTACTATACCACGTATAACGTGAAACGAAAGCTGCTTATTTCTCACACTTTAGCTAAATGGTAAGGAACTCAATAAATTTCTTCTTCTGCAATAAAAAGCCATTATAATTTATATGCTCGCAATGATTGTTTCATTAATCCTGTGACATCATCTTAGTAGATAAATACAAATCAAACATATATAATTTGAAGTGAGAAGGAAGTTAGTGGCCAAAGCTAAGGCCTGTTGTTTGATAACCATTTCAATTTTTATTTTTATTTTTTGTGCTAGAGTATAGAGGGAAAAGAGGGGGAATTGATGGGATTGAGAGGAGCGGATGGGAGGGAGGAGTAAGAAAAGTGAAACCAAAAACTAAAAACTGAAATCTATTTGAAATTTTTTTCACATTCAAGTTTTTGTTTTCACTTTTATTACTCCTCCTTCCCATCCTCCTCTCTCATCCCCTCTCTCAATCTCATCATACCCATTCTCACTCTCATTTTCCTCTATATTCTAGTACAAAAAAATGAAAACTAAAAACTAAGGGCTCATTTGATGATCATTTGAATTTTAGTTTTTAGTTTTCATTTTTTGTGCTAGAGTATAGAGGAAAATGAGAGTGAGAATGGGAGTGAGGATGATATTGAGAGAGAGGATGAGAGGGAGGAGTAACAAAAATGAAAACAAAATCTTGAAAGTGAAAACAATTTGAAATATATTTCAGTTTTTAGTGTTTGTTTTCACTTTTGTTACTTCTCCCTCCCATCTTCTCCTCTCATTTTCCATATCCACTCTCATTCTCACTTCCGTTCTCCTTATTTTTCCTTTATATACTAGCAAAAAAACTGAAAACTGAAAACTAAAAACTAAAATTGAAATGGTTATTAAACGGGCCCTAAAATTGAAATGGTTATTAAACGGGCTATAATATATTGACTATATATATTCTTCACCAAGGTGAAATCTGATTATAACTTGTCTGTCACTAACCAAAATGACAGCTAGTGAGGATAGATCCAATCGTGATTTGCATTTTGGTATATGAATTTTCTGATGGTTTTTTTAAAAAAATTGTTGATGTACACATTCTCTGCTTAATCAATGTACCAAAACAAATATGGCAACCAAAATACATCACTCACTACACCGTTCAAATAGGATCGGCCCACAAAAATAAATAAGAAAATCATAATTATTGTAGCCACTTTTTTGTGTAGACAGGACATAAGAATTTCGACAAAGTTTAAGAAAAAGACATAATTAAAAAGTTGAAGAAGAATATTGGATCAAAAGACCACCTGAAAACAACCACACAACTTTCTATTTAATACAAGATTTTGTGAGTGAGGAATCCTCGTTTAATTCGAGAAATTCCAATGCTATGCAGCTTCCTGCAATATTGGACGACTCTGTTAAATGTTTATTATCGCTACAAGTTAAGGATCCTTAACCTAATCTTGGTCGTATATTACTTGCTTTGCGTGCATGACGTATGATTAATCCCTATTTTATACAGTTATGAATTAGAAAACAGTAGCTATATGCCATGATAATTAAGAGAAAAAACTGATTATTAATATTGTAGGGCATGCGAAAATTCTTCAAGTAATCTAACAGAATTTTGAGTACGAATCAAGTTACCGATCGATTTATGAGAGAATCATTGTATACATAAGTTGTATTGCAGTAGAGAAGATGTCATTTGTCCAAATCATGATATAATAGAGTTTGAAAGAGTGAGATGCCTTTGGGGTCAGATTTTCTTTCCTCGAGTTGCTAGAAATTAAACCCATGATAGGAACTCACAAACCGAAGATGTGATCTATGTTAATAAGACTCTAATTTTCTTTTTTCTTTTTTTTTCTTTTTTTTGGGGGAGGTTGGGGTGGTGGGGGAGGAGATGAGAAAATACATAATCGTTTTCTAAATTGCATGCATGTATTACACGTTCATCCAGTAAATTATTTAATTGCATGCATGTACGATTGTATTTTTGTCTTGCTCTTATAAAATTTATACGTCAAAGTATTGATCGTTGAGGATGTGAAAGATGTTTTCATATATGTCTTGCCATTGTTTGTATATAATTCATATTATTGAGACTGATCAATTCAAATACATACCTAATCATTTGTTAATTAACAAGTACGGACAGGTTAAAAGGCAATGCACCTTTTTTTGTTTGCATTAAAAAACATGGTGACACGACTACTTTTTTTGGTTTATTAGTGCAGTTGTGTATTGAATATATAATGAACCTTCTTTTTTTCTTTTTCTTTTTTTGGTTTAGCACATGATTAGAGATAACGACGACTGAAAATACCTAATATGCTGTAGCTTTTCTCAAGGTCTAACAGTATGTAATAGTTTATTCGTGCAGAAAACTAACGCGGTCTGACAAGAAAATTGAACTTCTTTAATTAGTTTTCTTTTAATCATCCCTGAAGTGCTTTAATTTAACAAATGTTAATGTGGTCAGTTTGTTAATTAAAAATATAGATGCATCATTATTCATTGACGGATTCAATAATTTTCTTTAATAGGAGGGGTAAGGAAATAATACTATCAAGTCACTAATAGTGAGGGATCAATAATCGACTCTTAAATGCTTTAAAAAAACACGTCAAACATAATCATGTACAAATTAGATGAAACACAAACTCTACACCTTCTACATATTGCAAGGCACAAAGAAGAATGGAAAGAATGAGTCTAGAGAATAAGAAGAAAAACTTGTATAGATGACTAGAGCAGATTGCCCTCCTTTTCCTGCCTTGATCTTCTTCGCGGTATTTATCAAATAGTTTGCTCCCATTCAAAACAAAATTTCATGAAAACTTGCCATTATAAGTGAAGAACATATATAATTGAGTGGAGGCAAATGCCTTCATTTGACCCTTAATGGATCCGCCTTTGAATCCGCAACTAAGGACACAATCTACGTCTTGAATTACTTTTAGATACACTTATGACATGTTTACTAATCCATAATTGGATTAGGAGGAATTGAATTGAGGAGAATTAGCCATATGGATTGAGGAGAGTTATTTTTCAAATTCCTATTGAAGTTGTTTACTAAATCGTATGGATTGAGGAGAGTTAGATTATGGATTCCTATTGAAATTTTTTACTAAACCATATGAAATTAGGGTATGAGCTCTACTAATTACTAAATATCCTTGTTGTTAGGTTAAAGTAGATGGAAAATTTTAAAATTTTAAAATTGTGTGAGGATATAATGGGTAAAAAAGATGAATTCATAATGGGTTAGTTCACAATGAATTAGAATACCATCTTCCACCTAAGAATTAAATTCCTCCAAAATCAAGTTTTCAATTCCTAATTTTGTGTAGGCGGTAGGCCCTACTTACTTTTTAATTTCTTGATGTGAAGTAAACATAGAAATCTTCCATAATTGAAATTCAATTCATGATTAGTAAACACACTATGAATATAATCGCCCTCTTACTGGCCAAAAACAACTAATTACTCAACCAGGAGAACATTAACACTTCAAATCATCCTCAAACAATAAAAACATGAAGCAGAAAAAAAAGGAGTTTCCATCCCAGAAACAAAAACCTCGGCACATCATCAAGGTCAAATCGGTATATTCACATCTGTCTTGTTTGTGGAAATTGGGTATATCATATATGAGCTTTAGATTACACACACACATATATATATAAGTGAGATCGTGGGATTAGAGAAATACATGTTGTTGCACCAAAACCCGAAGACCCCAATATTAATATCCATTTTTATAAATATATTGAGATGGTGCGATTCAGGTGATCAATTAGAAATATTACTGGCATCAACAACAAATTAATAGTTTTAATTAGTAGTTGACAGTGCTTGAACACCTAAGTATATAATTAACTAGTTAATTACTTGTAGATTAGAAATTAATGACTTCTTTTGATAATAAACCCCATATAAATATTTTTCTTTTGTAAAAAAATTGGATTGAAACCTGCGAATCCAAAATGGGAAACAGTACTTATTCTTAGCTAGTTCAGAATGATTGGGTGAGCAGAGCAACAATATTAATATTATTCCAGCTAATTAGATCCTAATATATATATTAATTATGAATTAGCAACGTATCAGATTTAATTTATAATTTACAAATGTTTAAGTATTTTATGGTTTTTTTTTATCTTGCTCTTGTATTTTAGTTTTTGATTCCCTCTGGTTGTTGGGGGTGCAATTTGAAGGGCTGCTTAACGACTAGCTAATGCGAAACGATTTATTTATACCCGAATCCAGGAATACAGGGCCTCAGCTAGATTTTTTGTTTCTAAATTATAGAGTCCCTTGAGATTCATATAAAATAAGGTTTGAACTAGAATGCATACAAAATTCAACTTTTCAACTCAATTATATATAATATTGTTCCACATATCCTTAATCAAGATGACACTTTATAAATCATTGGGGTTAATCACCAATCAGAAAATGAATGAGGGGAAAACTGGAAGATAATTAACCGCATGTGTTAATGGTTAATTGCATTAGTAAAGATAGGTACATTACTGCTCAGACACTTTATTTTATTTCTCATTCACTCTCCTCCTCGGATAAGAAATCTGTGTATCCCTCCCACATGGTTAACTTGGTTTCCGAGCTAGAAACACATGTTGGCTCCGTCTGTGTTTTCAAGTAAACAAAATCTCTCCCATTTGGTTCTTTAGCCTTAGTCAGATTCTCATTAGTTTCTTGAGACATGGGGCATTCAGTAACACCTTCTTGTTCTTCGTGCGGTTCAACCAAATCTCCATAATTCTTTAGAGAAATCATGTTGTCAATACAACTAAAAACTTCCATACTATACATTGGACCTTTGAGTAGTACATTCTTCATGGAAATGCGTGTTAGATCCACAAAGAATATATTGTTACTGTCATAATTCTATTGGTTGAAAAATATGTCGTGCTCCCATTCGCCACACTCAGAGAGACTAAGATTCCCAAGAGGAAGAGAAAGAAGATATTGTCCTGCATCTATTTTGTAATTTAGCACCCATTCTTTGTTACCATAATTATTTTTCAATGCCCATATCTTCATATATTTATCTTCTGATGAAGAAAATTCCACTAGAGCTAAAGATTCCTTGAAATTAAGCACGTGAAGAAAATTCCGAAGACTCGGCTTTTTCTCTAAGGCCACAGGATGAGGAGTCCAATAGAACTTCTTTTTCTTGAAGTCGAAAGAAAGTATACGTATAGATGAGGAAGATAAGTCTTTTGTATCTCCATTAACCAACCAACCAATAGTTGGGAGTTTCGAAGGCCCAGTGGTCTTCTTGTATGAACTTTTGATGCTTCTTGTGTTCCAAAGAGAACAAGTATAATCGCAGTATATTGATAAGATTCATAACCAAGAACGTACAAGTGTAATTGCCAACCCTTTCCTCGGTTTGTGTTTTCCTTGGCCATCACCATTTTGCAATTGTGTGCTTCCATTGCTATCACTTTCCTTACTATAAATTTGAGTGTAAGACATTGAATCTGTTCATAGAATAACTTAGTGCCAGACAAGCCAAGTATACCAATAAGCAACATGTACACTAGAAATACAAAGGTAGAGATATAGTTAACAAATGCAAATTCCCCTCAAAAACTTGATGGCTCACGTTGGCTAAACCAGCAGCAACATGTGCTGCGTCATTTGCTCTTCTCGACATCCACTGCCATTGGATAGTAGAGAAACAAGATGCATATCTCCAAATTTCCTTCAGTATAGGATAAAGTCTCCAATTTCCAGTAGTGGTTCCTCCTAGGAACACACTCAATGACACTTTTAACATCAGTTTCAATGATAACACTACTAAGATTCATTGTCTTTGCCAAGAAAACTCTAGCTAAAATAGCCTCAGCCTCAGCTTCTTCAACGGAACATCGTAACAGATACCGTGCCTCATCTGAGGCTATTTTGGCTGAGGCTATTTTGTCTATTTGATGTTAACATAAATTCTTTTCTTTGAATAGTCTTGGCTGCTTAAGAACATTAAATTAATATGTCAGAAATTCCAGGCGAGCCTTCCATTGCTTTTGAGTTTTAAGTGTGGTTGATGATTTGTCCGAATATTTCTATACCATGAATAAATTTTTTATTTAAGCTTTGGTTAGCAATCCTTGGTTTCGCTAAAATGAATAAATTCTTTCTTTCGTTTTGAGTCTTTCAGCACCCTATAGCATACACAAAGATTGAAGAAAATTGGGCTAGCTGTCTCTGGCTATGTTGTCTTATAGTGATCATATATAATCTCATGCTTTTATGTTATATATGACTAGCCTCTCTGCACGTGCTTCCGCGCCTGTGAGGCTTTTTTTTTTTTTTTTTTTTTTTTTTTTTAAATTTAAATTTTAGAATTAAAAAAGATAATGGGTAGTTGTGTTTCATAAAAATATGATCAATGATATGATTTTTCTTTTTCCTTTTTTTAAATATGAAAAAAAATATTAATTTACCATATTATCCTCATTTAATTAATAATTTCAATTCTTAATGTTTGCATTAATCAAGAGCATTTTTTGGTATTTTGACTGTTTCACCATTCTCTGCCTTTTGCTTTATATATATAGATTACTATAGAATTTTAATTCACTTTTCTATAATTGATTCTGATCTCACCCTGGTTTCATATGCAAGGCTCAATGTTTCCCATTTTGACCATGGCCTTGGCAAAGTGATTGAAGAATGCGAAGGTGTTCTTTCGCAAAAGGTCAATAGTGGTACAATAGTGTTCAGTAATTAGCGATCTTGAATAGGTTTGGTGTTATGTGATAGAGTGACTATGGGTATTTTTGGTAGTTAAATAGGGTGTAATTAGTTAACTTTAAATTTTGATTTTAAATATTATAATATAGTCAGTTAATTTTAAGGTTCATTTAACAACATCCTCTCATAATACAGTACTTAGAGTCCGGAAAGTAAACACCATTAACCTCTATCTCTTATAGCTTTCCGTATCCTAAGTTGCCTACGTGTTTCAACAGTTGATGTGATTAATTGTAAGTTTGTATTTGGCAATAAAAAGTAGTCTTATCAGTTTGAAGAACGAGCCCATTATTAATTATAACAGTGAATTTGGGCCTATCGCAACCCAACATCAACTCCCCATATCCAACTTCTACACGCCTAAAAAATCATATGGACTTTAGTGGGGCTATTGTGATTTTTCTAAGAAAGGCCCAAACTGGAGACTGAAGCCCAACAAACGAAAACAATGATAGAGTCGTTCTTAGAGGTGTACATGATCCAATCCAATTCATCCAAACTGGCCGATCCAATCCAATTCATTTTAATTTTAATCCGTTTCGATGATTTTAGCAGATTGGATTGGATTCGTAATTTTCAAAACTGACATGATTGGATTAGATGACAGATTTGCTTATGAGAATCCAATCCAATCTAATCTTGTTAGTTTTATGCTTATTTTGCTCTTATATATATATATATTTGTAGTTGAAAAAGTTATGAATATTTTAAATCATTTAATGAAGTTATGTTAAATATATTATATAATCAAAACAATTTTTTGTAGTATTTCATTTATATTTTACATTTACGTCTATTAATATGTTTGATTAGATTAAACATAAGGATAAATGTTTAATATTTCACTATTGTCTTTCTTCATTATCAAAACCGATCCTCCAATCCAATAGATCGGCTCATATTAGATTAAACATCTAATATAATTGAATCGGATTGAAAAAAATCACAATCCAATCTATTTTGGATCGAGTGCAAATGGACTAAATTGTATTGGTTTTGAACCAATGTACACCTCTAATCGTTCTGTGGTGAGAGTGCCATATATGGACCATAAATGTAAACCTTCATATTAGCTACAAAATTTATCTGAATAGTAACTTCATTTATGTTTAATGAATTTCGTAACAATGTTAACAAAACCAGGGGAAATAACCCAAGATAAAACGAGGCCCAAATTACTACTACCACTACTTCTAGCATCAATATTATGAAGATATCCTAATTCATTTAATTTGGAGAAAGAAACTCAAAATTGTCTATTTTATCTCTACTATTATAAAGTCAGTCCAAAAGCAGTTGGGGTTACTTTGCTTTTTGTTTTTTTTTTTTTTTTTTGTTTCTTTCTTTGATTTTAGTTTTCTGCAGGAAACTGTAGATCCAAATATCTGTTTGGCTTCCAAGAAGCTGAAGGAAAAAAAAATCAAAATAGTTAAAAGGTTCAGTCTAATTGCATTGTTGTTATTTCTTCATAAATTATAACATGTGAAAGGGCTTATATGTTGTGATTCAAAGACTAGCTTGCTATATTGTTTGGTTTCTTCTATTGTTTTGTAGGATTTTGGGGAAGAGATAGAATGCCGTCGTCGTCATGAATGTTGTTGGGGAGCATATGAAGTCCTACTGCCTGCTACATATAATTGATTTACAAACGTGTATGCCATTACCAGTAAAGAAAAGGAAACAATCATGTAGCTTTTCTTTTCTTAATTTTAGAATTCACAGATATGTTTTCATTAAGAATTGATTGATCTGTTATTTTTGTTCATTTTTCTCTTTAGTTATTTTTTTTCCCCATTTAGTATTGTACTTGCAAAGAAAGCAATTGAAGTGTAGTGTTTAACCATAACTTTACAATACTACATAACATTAGAGCATTCACAGGGGGTATTTTCGGGGGTGTAAAGTCACTTTTACATTCCATTTACACCTCAAGGGGGTGTAAATACGTTTTTTGCTCCACTGGAAAACGATATAAATCCAAATATGCTCATTTGATTTGTTTGTGATAATTCTTTTTTGTGTGTTTTTTTTTGGTATGTTTTAACTTTTTAAAATTAATTTTGTGCGTGTTAGATTTATTTTATTTTATTTTTTCAAATAAATGGACCTAAAAAAATTAAATTTAGAGAACATATGATTTTACCTACAAACTAACATAAAAATATCTATGTAGAAATATGGGCCATTAGAAGTGCAATGCAAATTGCATGAAATCTAGGCAATTCATTTTGAATTCCAATCATTCTCTTTCCCTTTTTCTCTTGTGGGTCCAGCCTGCAAATGATGTAAAAAGAGATGCAAATGTGCATCTAATTTTATATCTTCAAGGTGGGAGTGTATTTTTACAACCATTTACATCTTCCCATTGGAGATGTTTTCAACGACAAAGGGTGTATATTTAACATACACCCACTTATACACCCTCCCATTGTGGATACTCTTAGAACCTCAACCCATTTGCAAATAATCTTTAAGTAGCGTGTAGCGCCAATAAAGGCCAATAACGCGCGCGGCAGTGAGAGAGGCCAATGTCTATAAAATAAACTTACAAAACCATAATATTTGGACTTCGTATTTAGCCGCTATATTTCTGGAGTGTAGCAGGCTACCATCCATTATTAATTATGGCCTTAATAATGGGCAACCATTTTCTCAAATCTGGTCTTGGATATGGGCCACTAGGTTCGTAACCACCATAACTGAGAACTTATCGAAAAGTGGCGGTTTGACAGAATTTGGTATCGATCTCTAACCGAGAGAGCATCATGTTTAACGAAAAGTCGGTTGGACCAAATTTTTCGATCGATTGGACTAGTTGAACCGAAATTCTCGGTAAGTTGGAATTGGTTTGTGCTTAACCACTGTTGAGCCCCCAAAAAAAATCCACGGTTCGGCCCAAATGAATTCCCAGCCCAGCGCAATGCCTTATTAAGAAGAAACCCAAATTGGGTACACAAGAGTTCATCATATGCGCTTGCAAACGTGCCACGCTACAATCTTAACTGGGCCCAAGTCACGCAAATGTCTGGGGTTTGCTGAGCAGGTTGTGGTATGAATGGTTATGAGTTTTCATGAGGCCCATTGATGAGCAGAGAAATGGAAGTTTTGGGCTGCTTAGGAGCCCCAAAACTCAAGCCCAATTATGTGGGTAAGCATAAAAGAGAGAAAATAGTCCATTACCTTAGAAAAGATAGCCCATCACTTTGGAAAGTTGGCTCATCCCTTTAGTGAACTAGCCCATTACCTTAAAGAATGGCACAAGTGACCAACAAAATATCTGAAAGTCCCCAGCACATGGCTGGAGACAAAACCGTGACAAAAGCCAAAAGTCACTCACATTTGCAGGCTGCTGGAAATCTCCAGCACATGGCTAAAGACAAATCCCAACACGAGGCATCAAAAAACCAAGGGATACTTTAGCAAAACACCCTTCAAACTAGTGTACATACCCATTGCTTTCCCCCCATTAGATCTAGCCATAGAAGAGGGGAGAAAAGAAGGAAGAAATATGGCTGAAAATGAGAGTTCTCCACTGAGGCAGCTGTGGGAAGAGCATTGAGCTCCCAAAAATCCCTGATTTTGTGAGATTGGACAGAGAAGATTTTGCCAGAATAAGATAAGTCAAAAGAAGAGAGGAGAAAGGAAGGAAAAAGCTTGGTCAAATTAGATAGAAACCATTAGGATTTCTTGGAAAATGATAGCTTCCAGCGGCTACAAAAAAGGCCTCTTCTACCCAACCAAAAACAACCCACATCTAGAGAGCAAGCTTAATCTCTCATATCTGAAACTCTGCAATTTCGTGTCATATTCCTCCATCTTCTCCCATTTTCTCTTATGGCAAGCCATTCCAGAGTCTGACATAGCTTTTGTCAGGCTGCTGGAAAATTACCCAAAACACCTAATACTTCACCACTAGCCACAACCACAACCAGATAGCAAGCTTCCTCTCTTACTTCCAAAACCCAGCAATTTCGTGCTTAGTTCATCTTCCTCCTTCTTAGTTTTCCCTCTTGGTAGACTGTTCTAACACTTGACAGAGCCTCTATCAAGCTGCCGGAAAAAAACTCATTGCCCTCATCTCTCTCCCTCTCTCTCTTTCTCCTCAACGAATCCTCTTAGAATCCCTTCCCCCATGCCTTAAAAACTCTGTTTCTCATAGGAAATCGCAACCATTTCTCTCTCATGCTAAACTCATGAATGCCCAACTCCCATGCACAAGCTTCTCATGTCAAGCCAAGAATTTATCTGTAAGCTGTTGTTATTTTTGTTGGTAAAGGTAACCAATGTGTTTCCTAAGGCCTCACTATCCTTTCGAAGCATTCTTGGAGCTTGATCGTTGAACTCAGGCACAGGGAATAACTTCATCAGTTCGCTCTTTATGGTAGCACAACCCATTTGTAACTGCCGGAAGAAAAAAGCCCTTACAACCACAAATATCCAATTTTGGAGCTATCTGTTTTATGAGAAATTGGTAGCTATCTATTTTATGTCTATAAAATAAACTTTTTTTTTTGGTCCAAAATCTATAAACTAAACTTACAAAACCATAAACAATTACAACTCACAAGTTACAACTTCTAACACACAACAAATAAATAAATAACACAACAATATAATGAAGCTATACCTTGTTAAGTAAGAGGAACATAAACTACAATAAGCAACCCCCAATTCTGATTTTCACAACCCCAAATTGAAGCCACTGCCAAAATACATAAATTAGATTATAATGAAGCATTAAAAACTATACTTCAAATCAAATTGAAACACTAATTTAAAACCTGAAACCCCCAATTGGATCTTCTTCTTTTTTTATTTTTGTTTTTGTTTTTTGGTAAATATCACGAGGTGTCCCCACACTCGAAAGGTAAGATTAATTCCCACTCGGGGTTCGGCTTGCCCCTCGCCACAAAGTGCTTCTAATGGATTTCGAACCTCTGCCATTGAGGCATTAGGTAGCTCGCCAGTTAGAGATGGCAATTTCCCAACCCCACCACACCTTGTGGTTATCTGTTTTATTTGTTTGTTATTTATGACCCGAAACCCCCAATTTGATCTTCCTCTTTTTTATTTGTTTGTTTAGCACTCTGTTGCATAATTTACTTTACATTGTACTTTTTTCTTTCATAAAAAAAATGTCAAATTAGACTTCATTAACATTGGCCAGTTTGGGAGAAATGGTGGTGCCCTGCTCTAGAACTAGCGGTGTAACTGGGGATACACCCAAAGATGTTAGGTGGACCCCTCCGTCACTGTCTTTGGTTAAGATCAATGTTGATGCAGCTTGAAAGAAAGAGACGCTGCAAACTGGCATTGATATTGTGGCACGTAATGACAGAGGTGCTTTTATTGGTGATGATGCACGGTATCTATTACGATTTTCCATTGAAGACGCTGAGGCTGAGGCTGAGGCTATTTTAGCTGGGGTCTTCTAGGCAAAGACGATCAATCTTATAAGTGTTATCATTGAAACTGATGCTAAAGGTGTTATTGAGTGTGTTCCCAAGAGGAACCACTATTGGAAACTGGAGACTTTATCTTATACTGAAGGAAATTTGGAGACATGCATCTTGTTTCTCTATTATCCAATGGCAGTGGATGTCGAGAAGAGCAAATGACGCAGCGCATGTTGTTGCTGGTTTAGCCAACGTGAGCCATCAAGTTTTTGGGGGGAATTTGCATTTGTTAACTATATCTCTACCTTTGTATTTCTAGTGTACATGTTGCTTATTGGTATACTTGGCTTGTCTGGCACTAAGTTATTCTATGAACAGATTCAATGTCTTACACTCAAATTTATAGTAAGGAAAGTGATAGCAATGGAAGCATACAATTGCAAAATGGTGATGCTAAACACTTGCCTTTTGAATTAGACCTAGATGGTGAAACACAAACTGAGGATAGGGTTGGTAATTACACTTGCACGTATCACAATTACACTTGTACATTCTTGTTTATGAATCTTATCAATATAATGCGATTATACTCGTTCTCTTTGGAACACAGTAAGCATCAAAATTTCATACAAGAATACCACTTGGCCTTCGAAACTCCCAACCAATGAAGTCAGTTGATACTATAAGAATCAATACTCTAGTCTATACATACGATGACTGTCTTCTATAAAGGAAAAGTGAGGAGAGTTCTGTGTATCTACCACGCATCCTTGTCTAAATCATTGAAATAAGGGTGATTCAAAGCGCTTTGCATCGTCAATCTTCTTCGTGGATTATATACCATCATAGCCTATGAAAACAAAAACAATAATTAAATTAACAAACTAAGTTCACCAACTTAAATCTATCAACAAACTAATTAACAAAAACTCTAGAGTTACCTCTATTAAGTTTGCTCCTAATGAATCCACACGTCCATGCTGTAAGAGACGTATGAAAGAATTGGAACGTATGGGGTAAAGTCACCCTCATCATGAGGGCATATTGTATTGATTTATACAGTATTACAGATAGAGTCCTATATCAACTATGATAAGGATACAATGTTATCAGATAACCAAGAGGAATCCCACATGGGATAAAAGTAAATACAAGATAAAGTTCTAAGGACAATAGTCATCTAACACACCCCCGCAAGTTGACAGGGGAGGAACGCACTAGAAGCTTGGAGGTCAGCAGCTGGAAACGTGGAATAGACAACCCCTTCATAAAAATGTCGGCAATTTGGTCATGAGTAGCAAGATAACGAACGTCAAGCTCCTGCCGCACAACCTTTTCATGAACATAATGATAATCGACTTCAACATGACGAGTACGCGCATGGAAGACAGGATTGGAGGCCAAGGAGATGGCGCTAATGTTGTCACACCAAAGTTTAGGACAGGAAAGAGAAAGCTGCAAATATCGGAATAGTGCACAGAACCAAGAAATCGCAGCAGCGGTATAAGCAAGTTGGCGGTACTCAGCTTCAGTGCTGGAGCGAGAAACACCTCCTTGCTTTTTAGAACTCCATGAAATTAAATTAGACCCAACATACAAGTAGTAGCCACCCGTGGAGCGACGATCATCAAGATCACCGGCATAGTCCACATCAGAATAAGCCATTAAAGACAGGGAACCAGGTTTATAGAACAAGCCATGAGTGGAAGTACCATTAAGATAGCGAAGAATACATTTGACAGCAACCCAATGAGCAGAGGTAGGTTGGCGCATAAATTGGCAGATGTGGTTCATAATAAAGGCAATATCAGGGCGTGTGAGAGTGAGATATTTCAAGGCACCAACGACACTACGGTACTCAGAAGGATCATCCAATGGAACACCATCATGAAGGCTAAGACGACGTCCACTGGCAACAGGAGATGAAATATGCTTGGCGTCCTGCATCTTTGTGCGTGTCAACAAGTCCTTTATATATTTGGATTGAGTGAGAGAAAGCCCGTTAGGAGTGCGAAGAACTTCGATGCCCAGAAACTAATGAACAGGCCCGAGGTCCTTCATGGAAAAGAGACGGCTCAAGTCTTGAATGAGTGTGGAGATGTAGGCCGGGTCATTGCCTGTAATTAAAATGTCATCAACATAAATTAATAAATAAACTTGAATGGACCCATTAAGATAGATGAATAAAGAAGAGTTGGTCGGGGAAGCAGTGAAGCCCAAATCTTCCAAATGAGTGGAGAAACATTTAAACCAGGCCCGAGGGGCTTGTTTGAGCCCATAGAGAGAACGCTTAAGACGACAAACATGGTCAGGAAATTGGGGGTCAATGAACCTAGTGGGATGACGCATATAAACCTCCTCATCTAGATAGCCGTGGAGGAAAGCATTATGAACGTCCAACTGACAAACGGGCCATTGAAATTTAATAGATAAGGCTAAGATAAGGATGGTGGAATGATTCACAACTGGGCTAAATGTCTCGCCATAATCCAACCCTTCTTGCTGATGAAAACCATTAGCCACTAAACAGGCCTTGTAACGTTGAACGGAGCCATCAGAATTGCGTTTGATGCGAAACACCCACTTATTTGGCAAAACATTCAAGGTGGGCTTTGGAGGAACTAGGACCCCAGTACCGGCTCGTTGAAGAGCATTAAATTCTTCTCCCATAGCAGTGCGCCATTCCTGAAATTTATTAGCATGACTGAAACAAGTGGGCTAAACAATATCATTAAAAGAGTCCAAGAAAGCATGATTTGCATATTTAGGATTGGGCTTAAGAAGACCAGTTTTAGCACGAGTCACCATAGAATGAGTAGTAGAAGGTCTTACCCGAGAAGTGGCCGAAGGTGATGAGTGTCTTGAGGAACTTGGTAAAACAGGGTCAGGGTTAGGAGAGGGAAAAGTGAGGATGGTCCTATGTGGGGTGCGACGGTAAACTTGGAGAGAACTAGGTGGGGAGTGTTGGGTTGTTTGGGAGGCAACGGCTGTGGGAGGATTGGTGGTATTGGGTAAAGGTGAGGATGGGTTGGGAGAGGTGGGCGTGACAATGTGGTAGCCTTAGGGCTGCGAGGCAGCCTGCTAGTTGGGAAGAGACCCAAACACTTGAAAAGGTGGTGCAAAATCCGCAGAATAGGAAGAAGAAATGGGTGGCATGAGCGCCCTTGGTCTCTTGAAAGGGGAAGCAATGTTCATAAAAAAATAACAGGGCGTGATAAAAAGACTTTGTTAGTGGTCAAGTTTAAACAACGATAACCTTGATGATCTAATGTGCAGCTTTGAAAGACACATTTAACAGATCGTAAGTGAAATTTATTAATATTGTAAGGCCGCAGATATAGAAAACATGCACACCCAAAATTTTTAAGAAAAGCAAAGTTAGGTTCTTGATGAAAAAGAATTTGATATGGAGATTGAAGACCCAAAACTTTAGAAGGAAGACGATTAATTAAATACACAGCAGTATGCATGGCCTCAACCCAATAGGCAAGAGGCATGGAAGCATGGGCTAACAAGGTAAGCCCAGTGTCAACAATATGACGATGTTTCCGTTCTGCCAAACCATTTTGTTCAGGGTGATGGGTACAAGAAATGCGATGGTCAATACCATGAGTAACCAAAAAATTATGAAAAATACGACTAGTATATTCACCACCCCCATCAGTTTGAAGAGCTTTAATTTTTGTAGAAAATAAATTCTCAACAAGTGTCTTAAATTTAACAAACAAAGAGAAAACCTCAGATTTCAAGTGCATAGGGAATATCCACGAGTAGCGAGAAAAATTATCAACAAAAAGAACATAATATTGAAAACCATAAATTGATTTATTGGACAAACTCCATACATCAGAGTGAATGAGTGCAAGAGAAGCATGCGTAACAGACAAAGAAGACTGAAACGGTAGCTTAACACTCTTTCCTAAAGGACAAGAATGACAAGTAAAATTATCAAAAGTCTAAGTGCCATCAATAGACAACTTATTTTTAGATAACAAAATTTTTTAAATAGGAGATGAATGATGACCAAGGCGCGAATGCCAAATAGGACCAGCAACACGAACACCAAGATATGCAATACGACCATGAGATGACATGCTAGATGGAAGAGAGTAGAGACCAAGATTACTTGTGCCCCGGAAAAGAGTCTTCCCCGTCCGCGAATCCTGTACAAGAAAATGATTGGGATAAACGTGAAGAAACAGTTATTACCCCAGGAAAATTTATTAATGGATAACAAATTACAAGAAGCAGTAGGGCAGTGAAGGATATCAGTAAGAGAAAAAATAGAGTTGTTAAGAGGAAGATTAGATGAGCCAATATGGGTGATAGGCAAACCTGTTCCACCAAGCACACCATCAACAGAATCATGGCCATGATATTTTCGGGAAAGAGACTAGTTACCCAGATCATTGGTGATATGAGAGTTGGCCCCAATATCCATAACCCAATTAGGAGGACGAGTATACGAGGATTTTTGAGCAGTCATGGCAGTAAGGCGTTGAGAAGGTACCTGACCTTCATACCACAAGTTGAGACGATTGTAGCAATCCAAAGTAGAATGCCCACAACGTCCACAAATTTGGCACCGAATACGTGAACCAAAAAAGGAAGCAGAAGATGAGAAAAAACCAGCAGCAGCCGCAGAAGAAGGACCCAAAACACCAGGTTGAGAAGAGGAGCCACCAGGAGAAGAAAAAGAAGCACGACTAGAACCATGAGAGGAGGAAGAGCCGCGAAACCCAAGATGTCCAATAGCAGAGGAAGAACCAGACCACGGGGCAGAACTACCAGAATGTTCGCCACAGAAAGAAAAGCGGCCACTATCGCGACCGCGACCACGAGAAGGAGCACGACCATGGGCAACAACCATCGTAGTAGCAGGACCATCACGGGCAGGAGCATAGAGCGCAAGATGGCATTGTTCAGCAAAAAGCAAAAGAGCCTCAAGATCAGCATAGGTAACAGGGGTTTCACGGGCTTGAGCAGACGCAACAGTAGACTCATATAAGGGCCCAACATTATTCGTAATGACAGCAAGAAGATCGGAGTCAGGAAGAGGAGAACCAAATAACGCGAGGTTGTCGACAATAGCATTGACCTTGTCCAAGTAATCAGCAATAGAGGAATCACCACGAGCAGTACGGAAGAGTTCACTACGAAGCTGCAAAATCCGATTTTGATTCGGAGAGGCGAAACGGTTTTCAAGAGTCACCCAAGTAAAACGAGTGACGGTGGCGAGAACCGTAGAACTAAGAGAACCATTAATCCAGGACAAAACCAATTGGTCTTGTTGAATCCAAGTATCATAGGCAGGATTAATAGCATCAGTAAGCTTGCCCTTGTCATCTTTAAGAAAAAGGAGAAGGAGCGACGGAGGCACCGTTGACGAAGGATAGCAGGTTGCGACTCTTGAGGAGAGGGAGAATCTGGACCAACCAAAGGAGTTAGTTATTGCGATCAAGCTTGATATGAACAGCTTGAGAGACAAAGGGAAAAGAAGCAGCGGAATCAAAAGAAAAGGCCATGGAAAAAAAAACAAAACAAAACAAAAAAGATATAGAGAGAAGAAAATTTTCAGACTGTAAGTCAATAGGCTCTTGATACCATGAAAGAATTGGAATGTATGGGGTAAAGCCACCCTCATCATGAGGGCATATTGTATTGATTTATACAGTATTACAGATAGAGTCCTATATCAACTATGATAAGGATACAATGTTATCTAATAACCAAGAGGAATCCCACATGGAATAAACATAAATACAAGATAGAGTTCTAAGGACAATAGTCATCTAACAACGTAGACGCAATCTTGTTTGGTTCATATTCCTTTCCCAACGCAAAACACTGAAGTAATTAGCAACTTATTAGTTGTGAGATCCAAGTATATATTTGCAAATTAAAATTAATTTATAAAAAATTAAAAATTAAAAATAAAAAAAAAACTCTTTACTTCACTTGATCTAGAAGAATCCAGGTTGCATCCTCATCATTACAAATGAACAACGAGCGGTTTAGAACCACCTCAGCTGCACACAAAAATAATTAATTAATTAATTTTAAAAAATACAAACACCCAGCCCACCATTGCGACACCCTCTTTTTTTATTTGCGCACCCACTCACCAAAACCCCAATTGAACTCGGCCTAAAAATTTGCATAAACCCAATTGAGAATAGAAACACCAAGTGGACAAAGATAAGTAATAACCAAATCCTAGGCCTTGCACAACTCCAGTTCAGAAATAACAGATTGGAACAGAGCCCATGAACAGAAACAGAAACATAAAGAAACTGAAATCATGAGCAAGATAAAAAAACCCAATTCGTAATTACAAAACACACCAATTCCACAAAAGAATAAAGAAAGCATGGGCAAGATAAAACCTAATTGAGAATCGAAAGATAAACAAATAACCGAGCCAATGAAAAGAAAGACACATACCCATGATACATGCGAAGCACCAAATGTCAGAATAAGAATTTTGTGCACAGTATTGGAGGCATAGTTCTGGAGTCTTGTACCAGAGTGGGGTAATGATTGTTGGCGAATCCTTACTTAGTTAGGATTTTGGTTCCTTATTTAGTTAGAATTTTTTGTTACTTACCAATTATTATTTAGTCCTATTGTAATAGAGATTTATTTCCTATTGTAATTTAGATATATTTCCTATTTTATTTAGGGTTAACACATCTTTATACTTATATAAATACTTTCATATTGGAGGAATAATAATCTGAGCATATCTGAATATTTGCCCTACTTTGTTTGACTTGATATCAAAACCTAATTCTCTTGTGACGTGTTCTTGCATTCTAATTACAATTTAAGTGCTCTCCTCTCCTCATCTTTAAGGGGGGTATGGGGAGTGAAAATGATATGTTTATTGACGTATTCCCATTATCTTGATGTATTCCCATAAAGATATTGTCTATTTCTTGGCTTTGACGACCTCTTCTCTACAGGGGGAGAGGATGAGTGAAGAGAAGTTGTGTTCTACTTTATCTACTGTCGTGCTCACAGAGTTTCTGTGTCCTACCTTACCTACTGCCGTGCTTACAAGGTTTCTGTGTTTTGCCTTACCTACTGTCGTGCTCACATGGTTTCTGTGTTCTGCTTTTATGTGTTCTTCTATGTGCCTTATTTGTTAAGGTTTGTCAGTTGTTTCATTTGTGGTCTATGACAAGGCCTTCTCTATAGTTGTTCGATTGGTCAATGTCGAGTATGGTGTTCTATGACTTGCTTGTCAAGTTGGGCATGCGAAATATCTTTACCCCAACTTGAGGGGGAGTGTTGGCGAGTCCTTACTTAGTTAGGATTTTGGTTCCTTATTTAGTTAGAATTTTTGGTTACTTACCAATTATTATTTAGTCCTATTGTAATAGAGATTTATTTCCTATTGTAATTTAGATATATTTCCTATTTTATTTAGGGTTAACACATCTTTGTACTTGTATAAATACCTTCATATTGGAGGAATAATAATATGAGCATATTTGAATATTTGCCCTACTTTGTTTGACTTCCTTGTCATCAAACTTTTTGCTCATCACCATCCCAGAGATCCCATCTACCTTTATCGTATCTTCATTAAAATACACATTTTCAGGGTTCAACTGAAACAGCATTTCTTGGCAATGTAAACTCTCCAGCGTCTTCAAAACTTGATATAACAGAGATTTAATCTGCCGCACTTCCACAACAGCTGCGCTTAGTGGAACCATGCCAGTTGGAACGTTTTCTATCACCAAGCAGTGTAATTGGTCGTCCATCTTCCTATAGTTAATCAATTGCACGAGGTAGCGACAATCCCAAAGCTCTTGAAAAAGATACAACTCTTTATAAAATTTGAATCGCTTTTCTCTCTCACCGTCCTTTTCTTCATAAACCTTTATTCTTACTTTCTCGCCCGTCATGATATTTTTGGCCTCGTACATCACCCCGTAACTGGAAAAGCGAATGGGTTCGCGAACATCTCTCTCTAAGAACCGATACTGGAGCTAGAGGATGCCATGGCTGCCTTTGGTCAAAGAAGAGGTTTTCTGGAAAACTTATGTTTCTTGGAGTGGGATTTTCTTGGAGAAGAAGATGGAGAGTTTTCTTGGAGATGAAAGAGGGAAATGTAGGAAGGAAGAGTGGTATTTTCAGGGAGTGATTTTCTCGGAGAAGAAGAAGGAGGACTTTCTTGGAGAAGAAGAAGGAGGACTTTCTTGGAGAAGGAAGATGGAGGATTTTCTTGGAGAAGAAGATGGAAATGGAGGAAGGAGGAGTGGTATTTTCAAGGAGTGATTTTCTTAGAGAAGGAAAATGAAGGATGTTCTTGGAGAAGGAGAAGGAAGAGGGAAATGCTATGTGTTTCTTCAAGTGGGATTTTCTTGAAGAAGGAAGAGGGAAGCGCTGAGTTTTACTAACCATTATTAACCTTGGAAATTTATATATACTCAAGTACAAAGTAACGACGTCATTTGGCATCCGAGTCAAAATGACGTCCTTTGAATATGAAAAAATTAAAAATAATAATAATAAGGGCACTTCCAGTAGTCAAACCCTTGCCATGGCAAGGGGGGGCTAGTGTCTGCCTTTGCAAAAAGTAAATTGCACTTCCAACAGTTGTTATGGCAAAGGGCAAGTACTATTCAATTTTTTGTTTTTTTTCACAAATTTGTTTACCTAAACAATTAATTTGCACAATATTTTCGGATGAGATTTTCTGATAAAATATTCGGATAAGATTTTCATATAAGATTTTCGGTTTCAAATTTCATATAAATTTCAAATTTTCAATTTCATATAAATTTCAAATTTTCAATTTCATATAAATTTCATCTAAATTTCAAAAAGGAATTTTATTTAATAGTTTCTTTGATAGAGAAATTTTTATGCTTTGGTTGTCGTTTGTTTGTTTTTACATTTTTAATGCTTTGGTTGTGGTTAGTTTTTTCATGTGTGGACTGTTTGAATAAAAGAATTTTATTTAATAGTTTCTTTGATAGAGAAAAATTAAACTTGAAAGTGAAAAAAATTTAGAGTAGAAAGTGAAAAAATTATTGAGTAGAAAGTGAATTTGTTGTTAAAAGTGAAGAGTAGGGATTGGTATTTATAGAAAAAAATTCATTATTTTTTGGGGTTTTTATAAAAATTTTTACGATTTTTTTTCATAATTTTTTGCCTTGAAAAATTCCAGGGCGTTGGATTGGATGAAAAATTAGAAATCGGAGGACCAGATTGCTCCACGTGGCAGAGGACAGCTGATGCGCGCGCAGCAAATTGTTTTTAATGCACGCGCCAACTGTAAAAAAAAATTAAAACCCGCCTGCTGACGTCAGCCGCGCCCTCGAGCCAGCACTCGGGCTCCCCCTGCCTTCGGGCCAACCCAGGCTAGTGGACCCCACCCTGCCCGGGCCAGCCTCTATTGCTGGAACTTGACTTTGGGCTCTTGCCCCCCCCCAGCCCGAGCCCTTAGGGGGCTGCTGGAAGTGGCCTAATAACACAAGCTCGGGCTGCTTGGTATTTGAGGTTTGATGGGCCTCCTTTTTAACATTCAGACCTAATGCAATATGATTATTTATAACTGAATCTAGGAATACAGAGCCTTAGCTAGATTTTTTTGTTTATGAATTATAATCCCTTGAGATTTATATAAAATAAGGTTTGAACTAGAACACATACAAAATTCAACTTTTCAACTAAATTATATACAATATTGTTCCACATATCCTTAATCATGATGACACTTTATAAATCATTGGGGTTAATCACCAATCGGAAAATGAATGAGGGAAAAGCTAGAAGATAATTAACTGCATGTGTTAATGGTTAATTACATTAGTAAAGATAGGTACATTACTGTTCATACACTTTATTTTATTTCTCATTCACTCTCCTCCCCGGATAAGAAATTCGTGTATCCCTCCCACGTAGTTAATATGGTTTCTGAGCCAGAAACACATGCTGCCTCTGTCTGTGTTCTCAAGTAAACAAAATCTCTCCCATTTGATTCTTCAGCCTTAGTAAGGTTCTCATCAGTTTCTTGAGACATGGGGCATTTAGTAACACCTTCTTGTTCTTCTTGCGGTTCAACCAAATCTCCATAATTCTTTAGAGAAATCATGCTGTCAGTACAACTAAAAACTTCCATAGTATACATTGGACTTTTGAGTAGTACATTCTTCATGGAAATACGTGTTAGATCCACAAATAATATACTGCTACTGTCCTTATTCTGTTGGTTGAAAAATATGCCGTGCTCCCATTCGCCACACTCAAAGAGACAAAGATTCCCAAGAGGAAGAGAAAGAAGATATTGTCCTACATCTATTTTGTAATTTAGCACCCATTCTTTGTTACCATAATTATTTTTCAATGCCCATATCTTCATATATTTATCTTTTGATGAAGAAAATTCCACTAGGGCCAAAGATCCCTTGAAATTAAGCACGTGAAGAAAATTCCAAAGACTCAGCTTTTTCTCTAATGTGGCAGGATGAGGAGTCCAATAGAACTTCTCTTTCTTGAAGTCGAAAGAAAGTATATGTATAGACAAGGCAGATAAGTCTTTTGTATCTCCATTAACCAACCAATGCATGTCTCCATCTGCAGACGGGTAACTCCCGCCATGAGCTTGTCCCCAATACAAGCACTTCGGTCGTCAGTTCGCTTAGTTGGCCCTTTTTGTACTTATGATGGTACGAAATACGAACAATCTTGTAGGTGTTTGTTTTATTATCAAATCCCATGCCGTAAGAATCTTGTCGGCAGACAGTGTTGGCTGAAACTTGAAGTACGTCACTCGTTGTTGGGAGCATTAGAATTTCTCCCTTGAAAGGATCCAACAACAAGCATGTGTTTCCATTCTTATAATCAACACCATGGCAAGTAAAGCCTAACAAGTTGCAGAAAATAAAATTGTGACCATACAAACACTGTCTGGTCCATAATTCGGAAATAATCCATGTTTACTCTTTGTCAATAACTCATTGCCATCACATTTTATTGGGTGCATCCTACAGTGGGGTGACTGAAGAACCAGTCGAGGAACTTCAACGGTGGTACAACTAGTAAGAATACGACGCCGCATGTGTTGTATGGCAAAAAAAGGGTCGTCAACCGTCTTTAACAAGGCCTTGGATACACATTTGATGCAACAAAACGAATTTACGAGTAGTCTCGAAAAGATGTCAATAAGAATTTCCATGAGTAAGACGTCTGTCATCGAGTTCAACTTTGGCTTCTTCTGCTTCTTGTTCTCGTTGTTGTAGTTGTTGTGCCTCATTCTCTTCATTCTCTTCAACAAAGTATGTGAAATGTTGGAGTTTAATCAATTGTAGGGACTGGATGATGTTGTGCCTTATGTCTTCAATTGCTTATGCGGCCCTCCTATTTATATAGGAGTACAAGTAGTCAAATAGATATCTCCCAGGTTTTTAATTCAAGTTCCTAAACCCTATGAGGTTAGGAATTAAAAGTAATGCATATTTCTAATTACTTATCCTAATTAAGCTATATTTTGATCGTGCCCCAACTTAATATAGCCATTTGAAGTAACAACTGTAGTTCATATGATCCTAATTAATTACAATGGGTTTTATCATTCCCATACGTTATTTAGTTGGAAAGAAGAAAGGAATCCAAATCCAAGTAGCTTAAAAATCTGGAGCTTCAGAAGTTTTAGTTGTCAAGAAAACACAATGCTTATTCTTATTGAATTAGAGAACCTAGTTAATACATAACACCGTTAACCTCTCTCTCTTATAGCTTTCCGTGTCCTAATTGCGTACGTGTTTTAACATTTAGTGGGTGACTTGTGAAGAACTTATTAAGGAAGAATTCAACATTTGGTGGGTGACGTCGTCCTAACTATAGCCCATAGGAATTACTTTTGTATGGCTAATAGCCCATAGGAGTTTTTTATAGGGTGGCCCAAGCCGCTTTAGTTATGAATTGGAGTCATCCCTGAAAATGGTGTTTAGCAGTCATGCCCAAAATTTAAAAGTATGACAAACCCAAACCTCAAACCTCAATCTAGCCAACCTTAAGCCCATATCTCCAACATTTAAGTCGATAATTAATGTTGAAAAAGAAAAGAAAAAAAAAGTGTTTACCATGGTTTATGAATTGCTAAACAGATTTGACTGGGCAAAAGGAAAATTTATAGTTCTTAGTAATATTGGAAAAATAACAAAGTTCGCATTTTGGCTCTATAAATCCAGCATTTAAATCATGTTTCAAGATTCGGGTGGCGCATACCTTAGTTGTGTGTATACATACACATATGTATGTACGTACATTATACACAAGTCAGTTCTGGTACGTACGGTAGCATGGTAATTAAGATAAGTGATCTTAAAGGCTTCCTACTGTGGTAATTGGAGATGATGTACCTTGAATGTCCCATGGCTCAAACTTATTGAGATCAATGTCACAAATTATGTCTAGATCGATCTTCTCACATGAGACCCTCTTCCTCAGGTAATATAGCAAGAGCTCCTCTTCGGTTGGTTGAAATCTGAAGCCAGGGGGAACTTTGCATTCTCCATTCACACTCACAGATATACTAGTCATTTTGTTCGATTTAGAAAGATGGAATTAAAGAACTAGCATGCGGTAGGAGTATACTGTTTTGTTGAGTTGGTGTAGTTGGACATTTATATAATATTGCATGGATTTTGAGCATGCGGTAGGAGTATACTGTTTTGTTGAGTCTAGAGGGTCCCCTAGATCAAAATTGTATGCAACAAAAGAGTGCCTGGAGGGGTACCACACCAGCAATTATTTCTTGCACAAATCACAATATTGTGACGGGGAAACAGAACCCTGAAAATGACCATGACAAATTTGTATTACGTATGTAAACATGGCGACAAATCCAAGTGCAGCCAAGTTCATGTTTGCATTAGTAAGAACAGACAAGGTCCAGAAAGAGATGAATATTACTTTAGGCTCGAGGCCACCAGAAAACTTAAGAGCACAATCAAAGGAAAAACAAACATTATCACACCTTTAAAGTTGACGCCTTGATAATATATATATATATATTGGGTAATGCTAGGCTAACCACATTTTTATACCATATTTCTAATAGAGGTGGAGCCCACCAATACAATGAGATCTACATCTATTAAAGAGGTGGTAAACATTGTGATATAAAAATGTACTAAGCCTAACATTTTCCATATATATATATATATATATATGTACATTCTTATTTATTTTATTTCACGTAAAATTACATTAATTTATACTGAAGTTTTGACTTCTTTTTTACCCCATGTTTTAAACATGCATGCATGCATGGTTATATTTTCAAGAAAGCTGGCCCCGCCGGCCGGACGGTTGGTGCACAAGATAACTCTCTTTTTAGCCTTTCCGGATAAAAGACCATTTCCCGACTGATGGGCATTCGATAAGATGGTGATCACGGATTACAAACATCATACCAAATTATACCAAAAAATTGTATAAGCCTCCTCTTTTTCAAGTTGTTTCTTCTTTTTCTTTTTCTTTTTAATTTTGTTTACCCTTTGATTAATTTCAAACCACTGGCACTTTGACCTTATTGTTATATCATATAAGAATAGCAACTCTTTATTTCTCTTTCAGCTTTTCCACCTTTCCTTTTTCACACATCAAGGGGTCACTTGATAAAATTAATGCAATTAGCTTATCTAATTGTGATATTTAAATACTTAATTTGTCTATGTATCCTATTGAACACGGATTATGATGAGTTAATTACCCCTTACGTAAGCCTCAATCACTTTATGTGATCGGGAACCCCTTTTTAACCCCACATTGATACCTAAATTTTTATAACTTTTTTTTACTGTGAATAGATAAGAACTTGTAGAGCATATATTCCCGACAAAAACATCTTGAAAAAAAAAAATTGCCAATTGATTTTCTACTCACTTTACATTATGCAATTAGATGTAAGGAGAATCTTGTAAAGAAGTTTTTGAAATCGACTTCAATCAAGTTTCCTTGACAACTACTATTAAAATTCCATGAAAATGAAATAATTTTTTTGCATATTTGAAAAGGAGCAATTGAACCAGATTCTGTGACAATGCTACGTTGACAAAGTAGCTTTCACTGATTGGCATATCTCAAAATGGTTTTTATTTCCGATCCCTTGCCTGAATTGGTGGTGGACTGTGTAGCACCGACGACACTCCATTAAGTTGAAGTGTCAGAGTATTTGGCATGCAGACATGCAGACATGCTTTGGATACACTTTGGACATGCCTTGGACATGGGTCAACGGTCAAGATACTTTTTGGACACGATCAAGACACTTTTGGACACGGTCAACTGAAGTCAAGACACAACATGGACCATTTTGAAAATTTTAAAACAAAAACTGGGTTCAAAACAAAATTATTGAAACAGTTGTGGGCATATTTGAAATAGTTTTTAAAAGTAGGCTTTTCTTCTCTCCCAACCAGCCGCATCTTTCATGAAAAAAAACCCAGCTTTTCTTCTCTCCCTCTCCACATATTCTTTCTTCTCATCTTATTTTAAATTACTTGAAGTTCAAACATCAATAAATACTTACGAATTGATGTAAGTGACAGCGAGAGTCTGATTTATTTATTTTTCTCAGTTTTATCATATTTATGGCTTCAATTTTTTGTTTAAATATTTTTATTTTCTTTTTTCCTTTGGTTGACTAAATTGATAACAATTTGGTAGTGCGAGAAGCATCTTTTTTAGTGCGTAATTCATTCACTTTGTTTCTTTTTTCTTTTTTTCTTTTTTATGCTAAGCCAATTCTTATTTTATGAGGTGGGACATCGTTTTATGTGTGAATATGTATAGTGCTTTATTTTGTTTAGGGAACGGTGAGTAATGCTAATTCAAATGAGTCCTCCTTTCATACTTAAACATATTTTGTGATGCATTAATTATTATTGTATTATGATATTAAAGTATTGAGTATGAATTATTTTTAATATAAGTATATGCTATTATAATTTTATTAAAATTTATTATTATTTTAATTGTCTTGTCCTAGCTGTGTCCTTGTTTTAATTTTTTGAGATTTTCTGTGTCGCCGTGTCACGTTTTCTTGTTTGTGGAAAAACCTCTTTCCCAAATTTTTTTTAAAAAAAAACATGTTTTTATGCATTTGAAAAACCTAGTACGCTATAATACATGTTTTTATGTAGTAATATTACATCCTGAAATATAACTCATTATGTGAATTGATTATTTAGCGTGACGATGTTTTAGTACCATATAATAATTTATCATTGAGTAAAGATATATATTTTTTCTGGAATTAAAATGTATTAGAAGATAACGTCTAATTGTAAACGAAAAGTTAGGTTGGCAAGAACCTTGAAAGCCCAAGGTTTACGAAAAATGGTCCGGCTCAATTCTTGTTGGTCCATCTCATTACAAAGCAGTTTTGTGGAAGCCCATAGAACCCTTCTGATAAGAAAAAGAAATATGGCCCACGTAGTTAGCCTACCTAACTAATACTTTTTGTTTCTTCAAGGTTTATCCCTCTTATATAGTTCCTTGACCCCAAATGAAAAACATCCTCCCGTGTAAGAAGGGCATTGTTATTTGTACCATTTTATTGACCATATGTTGACCACGTTTCTAATACAGGTAGATTCCACATATACTGATGGGGTCTACCTATATTATAGATGTGATCCGCAAAATGATCAGTTAAAGGTGATACAAATAGCATCATTGATATAAGAAATGCTTATTGACCAAACTAATCATTCACATTGCGTTCAAGAGGGGTTCTGTGAAGTAAAAAATTGAAATCAACAAAACCAAGTGGATCCCTTTGTTGATGGGGTAGATTAATTAAGATAGATTGACAACGAACCGCATTATTAAAGAAATAAATACAACGAAACTTTCGTTGGGAGAAGGGGGTGTTTCTGTTTGAGAAGGACGGGTAGATAAAATATAAAGATATTTGTTGGGGTGAGGCAGTCCTTCTTCTCATCTACTCAGCTAACAACATATATTGTTTATTAATTGGTCAAATGATGGGTTGATTGTGTGGGAAAAAGAGCATTAATGTATATGCCTTGTCCAATGTATTGCAAAGGGAAATAACAATAACCATTAATTGATGTTCTAACTCAATTAATTTTTCCTTTTTCCTTTTTGTTAACTTCTAAATATACCCGTGATGTTTGTTTTTTGTTTGTTTATACAAGTGATGTTAAAACTGAGAATTCTATCAAGAACCTCGATCAGGTGCTTGCATGATAATTCTCTTAAACAGTTGAGTTACAAGCCATTGGATAAATGCTTTGAGAAAACCTGAAAATAATAAGTCATTCAAACTCCCTTCCATGCATCAAGGAAGTTAAAGCAATGTTTCGAAGAACAAAAAACACATGGACCCAACTATTATTGTACTAATTATCAATACATAAATGATGAGTTCTTTTCTATAATTGGATTCTTAAAGTTTTTCTCATTAACATTAACGGGGTTTACACTAATTAACTAATCAAAGAACACAAACAAAGGGAAAGTAGAAAAGTGTACCCATTTAAACCTAATGGTTTATCAAGAAAATATTATAAATACTGAAAAAACCAATAAATCTACACTGATTAAGGAAAGATTTCATATGCATGGCCCTTTCATAATTCATACACAATGCAACAAATCGAGAAAAGAAACAACCCAAAAGATTGAAACATAAAAAATTAAAAAAATTAAAATAAAAGGGGCTCTAAATATATGATCTCAACATTACATTAATTATATATTATATCTACATGACCATACTTTTTTTCATGATGCCGACTCCTTCCAACTGCTAGACACACTCCACTGATCCGAACCCGCCGCCGATGAGTTCCCTCCGGTGCCGCACTTGGCCACCGTCCTCACACTCTCAATCAAAGCCTCAGTGCGAGCCTCCTGCGACAAAATCTCCGACAGCTGCTCCGGGCTTATTACAAGCTTCACTTTCCAAACCCCGCTACTATTGTACCTCGGAAACACTTCGGGGTCTGCCCTCTTCTTCAGCAACCCTTGGCTGTCGCACGACATGCGGTACGGAGTAGAAACGGCGCCGTTGGGGTTTGCGTTGATGTTTTCGTGGTCTTTCGGGGTGGACTTGTAGGGGTTGAGAGGGAGGAGATAGTAGAGCTCTTTGGGATGAAGCTCTTCGTTGTGGAGGAGAGGTTGGGCGAAGAGGTCGCGGGATTTGAAGATGGCGTGGCCTGGGAACTCGGTGGTTATGGCGTTGGCTGTGATCGGGGCATAGAGCTCCATTATTCCCCCGCTGGAAGTCACCACCTTCACCATCTCCTCTGCCTCTCCAAACCCTTTGAACACACAATTTCCCATCTCATATGTGAAAGTGTATGGAAGGGGAATTTTTTGGGGATATAGGGTGTTTAATTTTTTGTGAGGGTTTTTAATTAATTAGGTCGACGGCCGACACAAGAATGCTTTAATTTCTTTACAATCCAAAAAGGCAACCTTTTTTCTTGTAGGGACAATAGTTGGTGCTTAATTGGTCATTAATTAGTTTAATCAATACTATTTCATCACACAAAGAAACGAATCGTGTCGTTGAGTTGATGTGGCCCATATGGCTTTTTTAGTGGAAACAAAACTTGTATGTATATATTCGTTGGAGTGATATTGAGGTACTTATTGTGTTGCAATTGTTGGCATGCGAGGGTCAACGTTTGGGGAGAATTTTGACAAATTGACCATCATCTTGGTGGTGTATTAACTCATGGTGAAGCCCAGCATGTGTACTGTAGACTCTGTACCTCTTGATCTTCACTTTTATCATTTGGATCCCACGTTGGGAGGCTGCAGGCCCTACGCCAGTTTATCATATGCTAGCCAGAAGACGACATCGTTGTGCGATGAACAGTTTCCAAATCAACAGGGTCTAACTTGGTAAAAATAACTTTGATTTGACCCACAGCCTAACGTTCGAACCCCAATAACATATTAGCAATGTGTGAAAAAACCCCACTTCCTCTTTCTAATTAGCAAAAAATAAAAAAAATAAAAAAATTCATGCATTTTGACTTATAGCATAAAAACTTATATGAAACGGAAATAACACTGTTTTGTTATTTTCGATCAATCACGCTATGCCAAGTAGAAAAGTTATTACGTATGGCATAACGTGACTGATCAGAAATAGAAAAACAGTGTTATCCCCGTTACACACAAGTTTTTCTCCTTACTTAACCGTTAGAGTACATTGGGTCAGCAGCAATGTAATTGGTGGCATTAACTTCTCATCTGTTTCTTTGATTCGACATGTGATGTGAGTCAAAGACTTGATCCAGTTAGATAGAAGGCTTTTTTTGTCCACAGCTTTCGGTTTTCACTCAATTGCATTTTGAAATTTGGTTTTCCTTGGTGATGATTGCATTATAACTTTTAAGTGGTTTGGTATTCTAAGCAAGCAGCCAAAAAGAAAGTGGAATGGGAGTTTTGGCCAAAAACTTAAGGTGAGAATTCTGTTAATTTGGGATTCAATTTCAGCACAAGATGCCTAAACTTAAAATGCTAGCTAGGGGGTGAGAAAGACATCATTTCCTACAAAGGGTGGTGTTTTATAGTGACAATAACAACAACAAAGAAAACACTCATTATGCCCCTCGTTTAGCTGAGCTGTGATTGCACCTAGCTAGCTAAGCTCACTTTACTCTGCTCAGCACGGGTTGCCCAATTCAAAGGATCTCAGACAGAACTCAAACATGAATTCATGTGGGCTTGCATAATATATGTAGCAAGTGGAGACCTTGCCTGCCCAGGTGACTTTGAAGAGGCAGTAATTTCAATTATGAAACAAGGGATCATTACTTGGCCATCAAATGACTTTTTATGCAGATAACGGCATGGTAATGATTTAACCTAGGGGTAAAAATTACTTTAAATTATTTTGAAGTTTCAAAGGGGGTGGATTTGACCTTTTTTTTTTTTTTTTTTTTTTTTTTTTTCTTTTTTTTTTTTTTTTTTTTTTTTTTTTTTTTTTTTTTTATGATTATACTGGTTAATCTTTAACTTGTGGCTGTCCCAGTGGCGGAGCCACTCCTAGACCTGGAGTGGCTCTGGCCCCCCCATATTTTTATCACTCCTCTATTATATTATATATAATATATCGAATTTGTAATAAACAACTTAGAATTTAAGATAAAATGTCATCTAAAACAAATTAGATATGACTTAATTAAAAATATTTAGCTCTAAACATGTAAGTATTGAATATTTAGGTGTTTTATATACTTATATTTTCTATTTCGGCCCCCCCAACTTTACAATTCTAGCTCCGCCCCTGGACTGTCCTATACATTAAAATCATAAATAGAAAGGGAATACACCTCTAACTCAACAAAACAAAACAAAAATAAGACAAAAAGATTGGTATATATATCTTAGAAATTTCCTCCAACCATTAGTATTCAAGTACACTTAGACCTACTTCAGAAATTGTAACTTGTCATTTTGGTCTTCAACAGAGACTACAAATGCCAATTGGTAGTATATGTCGATAAGATCGACCAAGACCATATGTTATATACTCAACAAATTGGCATTTTCTGTAGCCTATATGGAAGACCAACATGATATGTTATAATCTTTACTCAAAATATATAACTTCAATATGAAAATTGATTATGAATAACGGAGTGTTAGTTGGATTGATCCAAGTCTTTGGTGTGTTTTTAAGTGATCTTGGATTCAAACTCTCATGGTCTCCCGTATGTGTGAGTTTTCCCCTATTCCCTTTCCTAACTTTGGCAAAAAAATATAAAAATGAAAATTGATTTTGTCATAAAAAAATTATTAAAATTGATTTCTTGTTTTCTTTTGTTAAAATGAAAGAGACATATTACAATGATTAACAAAAAATTCAATGAATACTACGAGGATGATAACTACAATAAATCCCAATATAAAAAGACCAACACAGATTAATTAATTTCCAAGTCATTGTTGTTGAAGAATATGAAGTTACACATTGGAAATTTGACAAAATCAAATACATAATATAATGAATGGTTCAACTACTAATATTATTGATGTTGCTTGTAGTGAGATGCAAGTTCGTCTCTCTAAAATTTGAACATGGTATCAGAGTAGGTCAATTGACTGGGCCCGATTAAACCTGAATCAAACAAATCCCTGAAAATTAAGGGGGGTGTATTTAATTAGGATTCTAGAGCGTTTAAAAATATTTTGTTTAAGTGTCAACTTTCATAGAACTTGATGGAACTTTATAATTCATATAGAACTTGATAGACTTTCAGAAAACTTCTGTATAATTTTTTAATAAAACTTTCTTAAGCTTTCATAGAACTTGATAGGCTTTTATTCTAGACTTACGTAGACAGTATATTTCATTTTATCCCCATCCTTGTCATTTAAAGAAAGAAACTTGAATTTTTTTCAATCAAATTTGTTTGTGTTACCCAAAGCAAAAACAAAAAGTACTTGTTTGCGATGGAAGAACATATGCACAGTTCAAAATGAAAAGAATAATCCAAGAATGCCGTGTCAAATATGCACAATACTTTTTGTATGCACAGTACCTATTTGACCATGAATGCTATGTCAAATATGCACAGTACTTTCAATGTTGTCAACGTATATAGTAACATTGGTGTTTATAAATAAGATGAAATAAAATTTTAAACAACATGAAATAAAAAACCAAATTCATAACATCTTTTCCTTCAACAACATGAAATAAAATTATGTTTAACGAAAAGCAAAATTCATAAGAAATATAGCGACACCCAAACCCAGAGCTGTGATGGAGAAGCTGTGAATATTTTTCGTATTTTTTTTCAAATTACTTCAGCCGACTCCAGTATTGAGAATAGGTTTTGTGACACTAAAGTTTTTCATTAATCTTGGGGAGAATTTTGGTTTCTACTGTTTCCTAGCTTAGCATTCCATTAGCATCATGCCATCCACGGCTTGCAGCATCCACAATTCAAGCATTATAATCTTGTTTGCTCTTCCCTTTTCCATTTACTTGTTGTGTATTTTCAGATTCCATTTGAGTGTAACTATGAATTTTATCATGTCAATCACAAAATACAGCATAAAAAATATACAAAAAATGTACATCAGCAACCATAGATCAGACTGACACATCTTATGTTAAAGGACGTAGTAGGAATTTACAGATTTGATGTCCAAACTCCGATTGGGGTGTATGACACCTTTCTGAAAGGGGAACGATGCCACGAGTCAAACTCACAGCTTTACTGTGATATATGGTGAATTTTGGGCTTTTAAGGTCGTTTAGGCTTCTAAAACAGAATTTAAAAGTTGAAATTTTTGGATTTTCGTTTTTTTAATGTTCATCTATATTTGTCTAAGGTTTTTTGTTCGATTATAGAAAGTTTGTCAATTATTTCAATTTTCTATCTAGTTGTATATAGATATTTCAGAAGAAAAACAAGTAGTAACAAGCATAAACCCTAGTAACAAGCATAAACCTAATAACAAGAAAAACACGATGAAGAAAAAATCATGGAAAAAGAAAACCCAACGAGGTATTGATCAAAGAAAAAATAGGGAGCATACCTTCACAGATCGAGGAAGGAAACTGTTCGTCTTCGCAGATAGAAAAGCTAGGGCAAGAGAAAAACTTCTGATGAAATACTTGGGGGGGAGGTTAGATTTATTTTGGTCTTTGTTATTTATAACTCTTCCCTTAAAACCTATGAAAATTTATCACTTAATGAAATCCTTCCAAATATATGACCTTTCAAATACACCTAGATTTGATTCAACTTTTTTATAATCCTAATTGAATACACCCATATTTGAATGAACTTTTTAAAAGTTCATATAAGTCCAAATTGAATACACTCAGACTTGTAAAACCTCTTTTAAAGTTTGTATAAATCCAAATTTAATACACCCGGATTTTTAAAATCTTATTAAACGCTTTATAATTCTAATTGAATATACCCCCCCTAAATCCCCGATTTTTTTTTAAAAATAATAAAACAAATAAAACAGGTATATACGTGTATGCACAAATTTGGTGACGGACTCATAGAAGGATTGGAGCTTGAGAGGAAAAATGGGAAATTGGGTGGGAAGGGACAAAGGGTTGCACCAAATTGAGGATCAAGGAAGTAAAAACAAAACATCTACAAACAGTGTGAGAATCAAGGTGCGTCTGACTAGCAAGCAACTGGAGGAGTTGATGGCGGAGCTGCACATAACCAAAGCCCGATTCAGAGGTAGGCCACGTGATCCTCTAAGATTGCTTGGAAGGTAGGCTTACCACCAGTTCGTGTTGTTGCTGCTGTTTCTGGGAATCGTGATCAGGTATCATATGGAAGTGGTTGGAAGTTAAGCACCATTTGTGAAGGAGGAGAAGAAGAACATGAGCATATTTTGTAATAAGAACTCATTAAAAATGTATAATACTTGCATTGTTTTCATGTGAGTAAAATAAGTGTTGCAACATTATTTTTGTTTTCAGCTAGGAAAATAATTGTACGTTTCTTAGGAACTTCTACATTACTACTAATAACAGTTTAACATGTGTATAGAAGTTTTTCATTTTGTATTTTGGATGAATTATTTTTACACTTATGTTAAACCATGATTTGTAGGAATGAGGAATATCTCTTTTTCAAGAAAGGAGGCAAGAGTATCCTTTCAGTTATTGATAGTGCATATCCATGGTTTTACTTCACATAGAATTTAGATTGGAATTGTGGAATATTGTCGAAGTAGATCCAGAGATATTGGATTTCTAGAATACTTTTTCATATTACCAAGCAAACTCTGGCGAGATGCATGCATTTAGCCTATTTTGCCTCGATTATATCATATCCATATTCCCTAAGCATACGCTTCCTTTTCCTTTCTCGCGTTCTTTGCATAGCTTTCTACGTTGAGTTTCCCTTTTTTATTTTTTGGTTTAGATAGTTGATTGTGCACCTTCAATGTGAATGTGATATCGAATCTTAGATGTTATTTGTTTGGTATTATAAATAACTTAGAAATCCTGGATATAATATTCACACAAGATTTTGTATTTCATAGGAATATTTTGATGGCTATTATTATTATTATTTTGGTTAAAAAATGTTTAGGGAGAAGGGAGGCTACTCTATTCCAGGATCAGGGCATAACAAGGCCGACGGCTATATTTTTAATATTATATTTATACAATTAAACTTTGCATTTAGCGATAGCAAACGGAAACTCTCAATTATTATTAGAGATGAGTATTGGTTGATTGACTCTGAGTTCCCTCCCCTCCATCTCCATGTCAACTTGAAATGGAGTTCTGTGTGCCCATCAATCTTGACTTTGATCCATTCCATGGACTCTATGATTTCTGTCATATCTAAACTGGTACCGCAGAGTTTTATGTAACTCGTTAACAAATGGTGGTTTGTTTGAGAAGTTTCCTATGGTATTTTACCAATTCAACTTAATTAACGCCTATTGCGGTTCCATTCCATGAACTGCACCTCTAATTGTCCTGCATCAATTTTTTTTTTTCTTTTCTTTTGTCAAAAGGCATGATTACATGCCACAGTAATTAACTAATAGTCAATGAATAATAGGACGATGACACATTACTTAGAATAAAGCCAGAGTGAAAAGACCAACACAACCCAAGTCGTTCGGTCGCTATTGATCCTTGACGAAGAACTTGTTTCTAATATAAACCATACATTTCTTGTGGTGAAAATGGATGTGTTTATTTAATGAAGACGTTGCCTTGCCAACCAATTCCAAGAGATACACATGTACGTACGGATTCTTTTCAGTCATTTGTATCCACGCCCACAAAGAGGGATTGATAGAAAGGAATGTTAGAGCGCTAGCTTCAAAGGGAAAATGGGAAATTGGGTTGGGAGGTACAAAGGCGTTCACCCAACTGAAGATCAAGCAAGACATAGAACTTCATCGTCATCGTCATCGTCATCAAACAGTTTGAGAATCAAGGTTCGTATGACTGCCAAGAAACTCAAGGAGTTGATGACGGAGGTCGACGTGACCAAAAGTCCCAATTCGAATTCAGAGCTAGGCCGCTTGATCCTCCGGGAATGCTTGGAAGGTAGGTCTCGCGCTCGTTTTGTTGCTGTTGTTGAGAATCATGAGCAATATGCAAGGGGTTGGAAGTTGAGCACCATCCATGATCATAGTTTGTAAATTAAGCTACTAGAAGTAAAATAAGTACTGTTGTATTATTATTATTATTTATGATTATCAGTTATTGAGAGAGTACATATATCACTTGTAAATTGCTCAAGTGGGAGAGTTTTCTCTTCTTCTTATAGTGAGTTTGGATTTAGCAAGCAAACTATGGAGACAAATCAATGAATCTTTTTATGGGTAGTTGACATGCATGAATTTAGAAGTGTGTATGGTTGTGAGAAAGCGCTTTTAGTCATTCCAAAGCACTCCCAAACAGATATCTCTCTTCGGTAACATCAGAATTGAATTCCCATTTTTAGAAGATTAAAAAAGTTAATTTTCGTTTAAACAACTTATATTTGGGTTGGACGGATTGAGTGTGGATCCGGGTGTGTCTCTGACCACCAATACGTGCGCCAAAAGCATAGGTGGTTCATGTAGATGCCTGAGGTTTTATCTTGCTTTGGCACACGGTTTCCAATAGATATTAATTAGCAAATAAAGCAAACAATTATTAGAATTTAGAAGCGACTCACCGAATTAAAAACTGATCACAAACACTAAAATAAACATCTAGAAACGAGGTTCAACAAGCAAGCATGCAGTGCAGCAGCTACTTGTGAAGCTTAGATGGGTTTTTCTTAAATTACAGTGACGTATTTTGCATTAAAACTTTCACACTTAGATGGGTCCGCGAATTAATTATGATTTGATCGAAAATAAAAGGGACTTCTGTTTTATCTAAAATTCAGTGGGAGACAAATCACCTTGTTTGTTAATATTTGATCTATTTAATGTTCACATGCAACATATTTGATAATCTGTAATTTCAACCTAAAATTTCTACATATTGTGTGTTGACCTGAGACAAAGCCATTCACATCCTAAACAACCCTACGGTGCCGTTTGTTATCTGTATGTGATGCAGATATTCTAATTTTATGTATGAAATCGTAAACAGAATGTCAAACTAAATCTGTCAATTCTTCAATCATAGGAGGTGTGGGACCATTTCACGCGCATAAGAAATATGTTGCAGTGATTTACTAAATTAAATAGTAAATTAATTGCAAAAAATCCACTAGTGTACATAGCGGTTTGGAATTGCATTCTCAGACAAGATTCTGGGTTCGAGTCCTAGTAGCTGTGTCGTATGTGTGGTGAGTTTAGTATATTATCGTCCCTCTCAACAGGAAAGATCCTAAAAAAGGAATCTAATTAATATATCTATATATGTAAACACTCATACAATTTTCCAAGTTGTGCTGTTGCTAATTGACCAGTTTTGGTATCTATATTATTATTCTTCTTCTAAGTACGTCACCCAGAGGAAAAAATAATAACCATGCATATCTTGTGGTGACATGGAATGTGTTTTTAATGCGAATCATGTTTCTTTAATTTTCAAACAAACATAAAAAGACTCCCACTTCCGCTAGTTTGTACTCAAACTCATAGGAAGGGTTTAATTAATAATTTGTTACAAGGGTATTAGAGCTCGTGAGCAAATATGGGGAATTGGGTTGGGAGGTACAAAGGTTTAGTGCGTCCAAGTGAAGATCATAAGGAAATTCGTCACAGAACATCACCAAACACCTTGACTGTTAAGGTGAGAATGACTACCACGCAACTCAAGGAGTTGACGGCGCAGGTGGACATGATGAACATGGCCAAAGATCGAAATTCGGAGGAGCTAGGCCGCGTGATCCTGCGAGAATGCTTGGAAGGTAGGCTTACTGCTGGTATTGTTGCTGCTGCCGCTGAGAACCATGGCGATCAGGTATCAAAATATGCAAGGCGCAATTGGATGTTGAGCACCATTTGTGAAGAAAAAGAAGAACAACATGAGCATAGTTTGTAAGGTACTAAAAATATATAGTTTGTTGCAAATCTTCTTTGTTTTCATTTCAATAGTAGAGTTTGAACCAAAACAAAATCAGACAGATGGATATGTATAGAATAAAAGGGGTTGAAATTTCAGTTGTTGATAGTAGATATATATCAATGGAGTCTTTGAACCAAAGTTAGATATAGAGACTGTGAGACTTCAATTTGCACCAACAGGCAAATACTTCTTCTGATATTCAATATACCACATAGATATATACCTATATATGTACATATATCCTATAGAAGGAATAAAAGGGGGAAAAAGCCAGAGGCCTTCCCTTACTTAGATTTACTAGCTAGCAAGTGCAAGTAGTACTAGTACTGCTACTAGCTGGACAAGACTTTGAAAAACCAGTAAATCTCTGGCTAGCATCTATTCACCATGTGATCCATGTATCAGGCTTTTTTGTTTTTGTTTTGGTCTAACATGTTCCAGGCTCATAACTGCGGCTTTGAATGCATTTTGTTTGAAAAACCTGATCAATAAGGAAAAACAAGGGTCTCTTATATGTAAGTCCAAAACGATTAACTGTTATTGGGCTTAGTCCACGCGTTTTTGGTTTTAGATGTAAGTCATTTGACATTTATTACTTTTTTGTTGTGTCAATTTTACCCTTTGAGGTAAATAAGGAAAACATATTGAAAATCTAAATTTAATGCATTATTTCCTTATAATTAAGTTTCAGAATTTAAATTTTGAATTCTTTTCTTGATAATATTTACCTAATTTAATCAATGATAAGTAAAGAACCACATATTATACCAATCGATCAGACAAGCACTCACATGAAATTATTTACCTAACATAACATATAGGTAAATAGTGTTATTATTAGCAATGAAAAAAAGTTAGTGATAAATTGTGTTACTTATAAGTCAGGAACATAAATTAGAAGACTACCTATAAGTCATATACAAAAATAGACAAATAAATAAATAAATATATATATATATACCTATGCAATGGGCAATAGGAGAATATACGTACACCATAGATAATATATGTAAAAAGTATATAATAATAATAATAATAATAATAATAATAATATATCTATATAATTATTGTAGATATTGTAATTATTGTGCTATAAATTAATTTTACACGATTTATACTTCAGGGATGTAATAGGAACAACTAGATTATTTAAAAATAATAATAATAATATATCTACATCATAAAATACAAAAAAGGAATGTAATCCTAATTGGTAGAAAAGTCAAAGGACTTACATAGGTTAAACCTATGGTAGAAAATTCAAAGGACTTGCATAGGTTAAACCTAACTTATGGAGAACTTATCCCAAATTTTCTTAAAAAATAAATTTGCAAAAACCATGGTTTTTTGTTTTGTTTTGTTTTTTATAAAGCGATATTAGGGGAGTGGAAAGTCAAACCTAAACATTTGATGTAAGGATAAATACTTTTAACCACTTGAGCTACAAACCCCTTGCGACCTTATCTTAAAATAACAGATATTATAAGAACTCTTTCACGGCCAATTTGATTAATTGTGAAAAAATCATTAGTATATATTTGGGCCTCATTAACAGATATGCCCATTCTTTGTTGTCTTCTTTGGGTTTCGAGGCTCTTCATATCTCCTAGAAGTGCAAGACTTAAAATCTTTTCTAACATTACTGGGCCGCTATAGCCATCCCAAAGAATGACAAGGCATGGATACAATGTTAGCAAAATTTAAATAAATAAATTTAAAAAAATAAAAAAAAAGAAAAAAGAAAAAACAAAGGGTAATGATTTCCCCACTCCAATTTTATTCACTTACACTCCTTTTTTAGTTATAAAATGGAGTGTAAGTGGATAAACTTGAAGTGGAGAAATCACCACTCAAAACAAAAACAAAACACAAACAAAAGTATAGTAGAAAATTCTTATTACATTCATGTGATGATGTGAGTTGGGATGGGATGGGAAGGTGGAGAAAGTGGGTTAGTTGTTTGTGGGGTCTCTTTTACTTTTGTAGAAAACAAATTAGGAGGTTCGTGCAGTGCATGCCATGCCAGAACATCAGAATTTCTGCCTTGCCACGTTGTAAGGAGGAGCCGACTGAGTGAGAGACTGCCAAGCTCTGATGAAACTAGATACTCGATGATATAGATACCCAATGTGTTAAGGAAACAGTCAAACAGACAACAAAATTGTCTCAAAAAATTTCACAAACCCTACGTTTGACTAGGTCTTCTTCGTCTCTCCACCGTTGGATGCCCCAATAAGAGTGTGCAAGCGCAATCCAAAGGCTAGGATTTGATGATGGCTGGATGAGGTATTTGATACCTCATACACAAGTTGCCTAAAGAGGGTTTAGGGTTTTGAGGATAATAATGGAAAGGAAGGCACTGGCAAGAGGCTTGTGCTTTGGCTCTGACGGGTTGCTGCTTGCCCTGCCTGGTTTGCAGCCTTCATGTGGAATAGTACCGACACACTCCACATCTTCTCATCCCCCTTCCTTCCCTTCCCTTCCCTTACTCTCTTTTTCTTTTCATGGGTTTTCTCAATTTCCTCAGCTCGGCTTGCTTTGCTTCGTGTCTTCAAGCCAGCCTATCTAGCTTTGTCACCTTCTTCATTCCCTCTCTGACTCGAATTTTTATGGCTGTTTTTGTTTTTTACTTTCTGGTTTTTACTTCTCTGGATACTAATAATTAAAAACTGTGGGATGTTAGGGAAATTAGCTGGTAACATGTGGTTTTACTTTTCTCTATCTTTTTGCCGAGAACATGCATGCGCATCATTTTCAATTCAAAGGCTTTGTGTAAGTTACTAGTTTAATATTAACATATTTATCTTCTCCATTTTCATTTGGTAGGATTCAAATTAAAAGATATAGTTTGCAAATTGCAAGCAAACAAGAACATGAGTCAAAACACAATTTGAATCCTGCATGTGCTGAGGCACTATATAATTTCTTAATGCAGCATGTAACCCTTTTCAGCATAGACATCTTTCTTTTCTCAGCAGTATTTTTTTCCCTTTCTGCTGTGATCCCAACACGGCCGAGGTTAGGATTCTTAGTGTGGGGGGACCAAAATTTTAAAAATCACTTCCACAGCTTTCTCATCATCAACTAGAGGATCAACACTAAGTTAATTGTAGAAATCGTATTATTATATGCATTGTAATACATTACAAGGGATTGAGAAAAAAATACGAAAGGCAGGACCACGGCAGGCCTTCATGTAGATCCGCCCCTGGATCCCAAGTTTTTGACTTACAGCTGCCAAATCCTTCACATCAAACTCCATACCCGAGCGAGAGCTGGTGCCAATGTTTGTTTGCATTATGACAATCATGTGATCCACAATGACAATACATAATAAAATAAACCACCCCAAATCTCCAATATATTGAATTTAAGCAAACATGATCTACTTCAAGTACTACATGTTGAAACCGACCCAAGCTCACAAACAAGCAAAGCAATAAATTGCCACTTGCATCAACATCATCAGCTATAGCTAGGTGTATATATATGCGTTGTTGACTTCTAAAGCGATTTGATTAATCAACAAACCTTAACATTTTTCTTATATCACAACAAATCTAGTGATTGCTTAATGGTAAAAGTTATCAGTAGGCCCGTATCAATAATTATGATTGTATGTATGGATATATAATTCTTCAATATCTTATTCATTTGTAAGAAAATATTTTCTTGTACAACGGTAAAAAAAATAATGCTCTTTGTGAAGAGAGATACTATTTCATCAATCGAGTTACAAGTGTCTTAACATATTCATACCTAACAATTTTCCACAAAAGGGTGATGAAAGATATAACTTGTACACAAATCTTTCTATTTTCCAATTCGATCCGATAAAAATTTGTTTGTAGAGCTATTTACTCGATCATAGACAATGCACAAGCTGTAACGCAGTTGAATGATAATTAAGTAGAGCAAGAATCTTTCCCAATGAGCCAATAATGGGGCAAGTAGATGTCATTTTCTAACTCCTTTTACAGGATACTGAAGATCTTATCATCTTAAGCTCTCTGTGAATGTGTATGTGCATGGCCATGAATGTCACCCAATCAAATATTTGCTCAGCTCACCCACTTCTCTCTCAAGCCCACAGCTTTGTTAGAACTAGCCGCCAACAGAGCCGACAGTGAAACCAAACATGAGAAGAAAAATGAACTTAAATAAATAAAGTATTTGTTCCCAACTGAAAAAAATTAAAAAGAAAAAAAAACAGAGAGGTTTGACCGCGATCTCTTCGAGAGTCCAAAGCCGTTGTGTGGTAGAAGACAGTCATGATTTCGGTTCCAGAGTTTTAATTATATATCTGGTGGATCTAATTACCCCCACTATATTACCCTCTCTCTCTCTCTCTCTCTCTCTCTCTCTCTCTCTCTCATATATCCCATTTGACCATCATAGACGCCGCTTACCACGCATACCACTGGTTCTTCTTCTTTTTTTAATCATTGTAATTATTTTACAAATAATAAAATCCTTTTTAATGATACTCAACACCAAATTAAGAATAAATAATGACATGGGGTGCCCCTGATTTCTTCTGCCATATTTGATCCATAAAAAAAGGGGACCCAAAATTGTCAAAATGGGAAGCCAAAAGAGCAAAGAGAGTGGAGGTGGAATTATAGACTGCAAATAAATCTGTCCATGCATTGATGCAGAAATGGAATGGTGGGCAAAAATGGGTTTTCATGAGACTCCAATTAGGAAGAAGAGCTGGGTGTTGTTAACAAAAACAGAGGTGCCCACATTTATTTAATTAGTGCCCAAATTTATTATTATTGATTACCCTTAATAATTTTCAAAGAAAAGATTTAGAAGGTTGTGCCAGAAAGTTTTGGCCCACCAAAAAACAATCCCATTTCCTGTACTTTTTCGGTTAAGAGAATAGCTGCAGCTTTAGAGAGAGAAAGAAAGAGAGGGTTTTGAAGTTGAGAGAGAGAGAGAGAGAGAGAGAGAGAGAGTCTCAAGGTATCATATCTCAGAGACCCACCAAATGCCATAAACAGAGCAAGCAATCTCAAGAGGGGTGGAACAGAGAAAGAGAGAGAGAATAGGAAATGGAAGGTTGAATACAGCGAAGCAAATGTTCATGCAGACCCACCCCCCACAAATGTAAATATTATTAAACCAGTATATTTTGTTTGTTTATAATATTTATATTCTTGTTTGATATTTTGTGTGTGTATATATATATATATATATATATATATAATTGCTTATAGCTGAGAGAGAGAAAGTGGTGATACAGCAAGAAAGGTTGGTCCTTTGGTCTCTGGTCTTCCATTTTTCATTGGACACCACCTCTGCGTACTATTGTCGTGGGTGCCCACTAGCAGCTTTTTTGTCTTCTCCCTTTTTTCGATCCCTTCTCTCATTTTTCTTTTAAAATTTCAATATTGCTCTGTTTCTGCTCTGTTTTTTTTCCTATCTGCCTCTCTGGCTATGTTTCTGTGTGTGTTATTGTTTTGCATATAAATATTTTGATAGGGTAGTAATCTTTTTTTCCTTTCTCTCTCTCTCTCTCTCTCTCCTCTCATTTCCCCTTTCCACCCTCAACAGTAATGATTTTCTCGTTACGGGTATCGTTGTTGAGGAATCTGAGGAGAGCTACTTGTCCTGGTTGTGAAAAAGAGGCAGTTATACAAGTAGCCTTGGTTGAAAAACAAGTCGTAGAAAGGAGGAGGATTAGAAGAAGAGGAACAAACAGAATCCCAAGTGCACGAGTGTGTTTGTGTTTTCATTGATGTGATCTTTGGAAATAAAAGACTAAATCTTTCTTTATTTCTCCGTATTTGGGTTCTGGGTTTTTCTCTTTTTGTTTGATTAGCCATCTTTTTTATTTCCCTTTTCCTGCTTTTGTTTGGGGTGTTTGTTTTTGTTGGTTTGTTTGTTCTGATGTCTCAACCAAGGCAATTTCAGATGGTGGGTAGTAACATTAATAATCCTGGCCAATACAATGACACAACTTTCACCAAAATCTTTGTTGGTGGGTTGGCTTGGGAGACTCAGAGGGAGACTATGAGAAGGTATTTTGAACAGTTTGGAGAGATCTTGGAGGCTGTTGTGATTACAGATAAGAACACTGGGAGGTCCAAGGGTTATGGATTTGTAAGCCCATTTTTGCCTCTCATTTTCAGAAGCTTATTTGTTCATTTGTTTCTTGGTTTTTCTGCTGGTTTTTATGGTTGTTTTCAATCTTTCAATTTCTTAGGTTACATTTAAGGATTCAGAGGCAGCCATGAGAGCATGTCAAAATCCATCCCCTGTGATTGATGGAAGGAGGGCAAATTGCAATCTTGCATCTCTTGGTGCACAAAAGACTCGTCCCCCAACTCCTCATCAGCAGCATGGTATGTCTTTCTCTCTCTCTCTCTCTCATACTATATGCTTTTTTTCTTTGATAAATCCCTTCCAATATACACTTTTATGAAATTGCATTGATCATATTTTAAAACCCATTTTCATTGTATACCAAATTGAAATGTGGATCTAAATACGGGGTAGGAATTGAAAATAAAATGATGTATGAACTCATTTATTATGCTAATGCAGGTGCAGGAAGATTCAGACCAGCACATGGTTTGGTGGCTCCACCTGCTTATCATGGCTCTTCATCACCATACTTCCATCAACCAACTGGTCAATACACATTTCCTTATTCTGCTTATGGGTAAGATTCAAAATCATCATAGGAATAAAAGATGGACAAAATCCCCTTTTCTTTTCTGTTCAATGTCTGATTTTTCTTTTTTTGTGCGTATGAAATTTCAATTTACAGGTACACTGGATATTCACAAGATTCCATGTATCCCATGGTAATTTTCTTTCATTTAAGTGACATTGCATAGATTTTACTCTATTTTTATTTCTTTTTGGGGAGCTCAATGTTGCAATGTTGATTAATGTTACCAATGCATAAACAATTTCATTGAATTGAGTTGTTTAAGCTGACTTTGATGGCAATGCATCTTGTTGCTTGCTGCAGAATTATTATAGTGTTTATGGTGGTCAACAATTCTCACCTTATTACACCACCACTGGGGCATCAGGGCCAACTGGCATGTACCAAAATGTCTACCCATTATATGCTCAGTATGCACAGAGCAGTAGCCAGGCTCATGGTCTTGGAGTTCAATATCCCCAAATGGTACAGTACCCATATTTGCCTCATCAGCCCTATGCTGCTGGTTCCACAGCTGGGATTCTCTCTCTTCCTTCTTCAATGCCAATTACCACCACCACAACTACCACCACAGGTAAATGTTATGTTTTTTAACCATACCTAGAAAATTACTTCAGAGTAACAAGGCAAACATTAAGCTCCAGAGAATTTACAAATTACATGCAAAATGTCACAGGTACAACAACAGCAGCAGCAACTGGTGCTGGTGCTTCTTCACAAGCCTCTGCAGCCAATTCTGAACAGAATTCTTCAACTTAAATGTCTACAGAGAGAGAAAAAAAAAATGTCCTCTTTACAAGGCTAACCACATTGATAATGGGTTACAGAGTCAAAGTGCAAAAGGGAAGGGAAAATGTCAATAACAAAACCATAATAAGCTATCAATTTCAAAAGGGTGCCTAGCCTGCTGCAGAATACATATCAGCTGCCATGAGAAGAGATCAAAAGGGCATCCAAGTGATCAGCATTGGACAGTTCATCGCTTGCTCCACACTAACTTCATCATCTTCATCTTACATGGGTGGGTTAAGACAAATAGGGGAGTCTTATTTTCAAGTAGTTGTTAGCATTAGGAGAATTAAGAGTCATAATTTAATCATTCATGTATTGGCATCATGGGGTGGAAGCTAAATATTGGGCTTTGGATTCTGCCTCACACACTAATTACCAGTTGGGTTATGTGCCTCGGATGCATAGAGCATCCAATGACATAATACCGCTTGTTTATATTGGAAAGCAATCGGGTTTCAAAAGATTGGTTTTGTATCTTTGAAACCCAGTTTGGTCAAAGCTCTCGGATAGCTTTAGCTGGCCATTAACTTGTAATTTTCTTCGTTTTGGTCATTGTTCATGATTGATACTTTTCAAGATAGGATTAGTTGGAAAAAATAGAAGATTGTCTGTCTCTCTCATTTATAACTTTTTTTTTTCTTCGCAGATACTTTCGCTTTCAGTTTGGCAACTTGGCATTGTTTTCTTATTATGATTCTTCTTTTGCATGATCAAATTCAAATCACTTTTGGGCCTTGAATAATGTGCTTGGAATCCAAGGGGATCATCTTACAGAAAAAGGGGGTCTACTGAGCTCTAGTAACTTTACTCTGTGCAAGTTTGTCATGCTGGTTGGTTGTGCATGATTTGATTTGGAGGAAAATGAAACAAAGAGATTTAAACTTTCTCAAGAACAAGTTTCATGTACCACACAAAATCACTCACATTAATAAGAATCATGATGATATGTTTCGTTGCTTGCCCAAAATTACATGAACATGCTTCAAAAGGGGTGGCTAATGGTATTGGCATCTACGACAACAAATCCTCCTCCCAAAAAAAACAAACGATAGTCTAAACTATAAGGGAAGGGGGGTTTCTCACACACACTACACTACTAAAGTTCTATATGGGGTACGAATATGAAACCACTAGTTCTTTTCCACACGACTAGAACCCGTTAGCACAAATCGTCCTCCTTAATCATGAAACTTAATCCACCTTCCAAAGATGGCTTGACAAATCTACATTCGGCTCCTTTGAAGCCAATTTTTGATTCAATAAACCGAAGTTCACTCTTTTTTTTTTGGTCCAAAAGTTCACACTCTTTATAGTAACTTCTAGACTTTACCATTGGCAAAAAAATAAAAAAATTCTAGACTTTACCAAAGGGTTTACAAAGGAGACACTTCTTGACTTCATACGATTAATATATTTGACACATGCAAAAATAAGTTATCAGAAACATAAAAACAACAACTTATGCACTCATATTAAACTCTGATTGATTGGAAAGCAAGATAAATATTTTCCAAATAAAAGGTTCAAATTGGAGTAAAGCTCAGCCCAAATGTTTTCGTTTTAATATTTTCATTTCCCACTATAAGTTAGCCCATCTTTACTCTTTTAAATTTTTAAAGACGTGTTATTGTTTATGTTGAAGGGCTTTTAAGTCATTCTACAATAGTAGTTATTTCAAAAACAAATTAAGGTGGGTGTCCAGATATCATCTTTTTTTCTTTTGGTCTGATCCAGATAACATCTTGGGTTCTCCACAAAATCACTAGTCGTCCAAAGAAGAATTGGGCTGGGCTGGGCTGGGCTTGCTTGACCCATATCAGTTTGCTACTAGATTTGTGGGCCTTGGTCGTGGTGGAGCCCACTCTTGGGCTTCCAAATAATCAGGCGAGCCCATTTCAGTGTACCTTTAAAACCCCTGCCTCACTAGAAAATCAGGAACCCTAGAAGAGAAGTGTCGAGGTTTTGCAGCCGCGCAGCACTCTAAGCTCGGAGAGAAACCCGTCCATCTCAGATCTCATCTCTCTCAGGTAAGTCTCTCCCTCTCCCTGTACCTCCCTCCCTCTGTACCGCCCTCTACCTTTAACTGGAACCCACTGTTAACTCTGATGAATAACAATATTCAATTTTCGTGACGAAAGAAATAATTTTGGGTGTTGTTTGTTGGTTATAGTGAAAAACGATGTCAGTCTCAGAGCTTGCTTGCACTTACGCCGCCCTAGTCCTCTATGACGATGGCATCCCCATCACTGTATCCTTGGTTTATTACTGTTTTTATGTATTTGTGTTTAGCTTCCTCTCATATTTAGCATTTTATTTTAAGCTGGAAAAAATAAAAGTTTTATGTGTGTTCATGTTTAGTCTTATTATGTGTTAAATTAATATGGGTTTGATTTTGTTTGAATCACTTGTGTTGTTTTGGGAAGCTGTGGTTCTCCTTAATTGGTTTGTAATAGGCTGAGAAGATTGCAACATTGGTGAAAGCTGCCAATGTCACAGTTGAGTCCTACTGGCCTGGATTGTTCGCTAAGCTCGCCGAGAAGCGAAACATTGAGGACCTTATTCTGAATGTCGGTGCCGGAGGGGGTGGTGGTGCAGTTGCTGTTGCCGCCCCGGGTGCAGGTGCCGCTGCCCCTGCTGCTGCTCCCGCAGCAGAGGAGAAGAAGGTATTGCATCATCATATTGTTTTTCATCAATTGCGTTTCTATTGATCGTTTAGTGGTTATCTGATTTGTTATTTTCGTTTTGTTGTTTTCTAATTTGATTTTACAGGAGGAACCCAAGGAAGAAAGTGATGACGATATGGGATTCAGCTTGTTTGATTAGGAACTTCCTCCAAACAAGATATAGTCCACTTTTCAGTTTGCTGGTTTTTAGTACTTTTGAGACTAGTTAACCTTATCAATGTAGTAGGGCTTTCTTTATTTTTGGCTTTTTGTTATGTATTTCTGATGGACAAATTGTTCAGAGTCTGGGGTTTCCTGCTGAGCACTATAATTTTGAACAATCTCATTTTGAGCTTCTGGATATAAAAGTATGTTCCCCATTTAATCTTAATTTGAATGGTTTGCAATGGTTTTTGAAATTTCTTTTGTTCAATGTGTTATGCTTGTTTGGTGTCGGATGATGGTATAACTGTCTGAGTTTCTTGGCATCGATTGCGAACCTGGGTCTTGTTTGATCACTGAGATCTTGTTTGGTCACTGAGAAATGCCATTAATTTTTTTTAAGAAAAAGAACTTCTTTTGCCTTCTGTTTGGGGCAACCTTTGAGATTGAAGAAGAGATTGTGAGGTGAATGCTTCTCTCTGGTGCAGAAGGGTTGTTGGGGTGAGTGGTGCGGATGCTACTTTCATTTTGCTCATTTTAAAATGAGAGTTTGGTTACATGGGCAGGATTTTATCATCATTGGAAGAAAAGAAAATGGCACAAGCGCTTATCAATCTTCTATTGATTTCGTTTGCCCTACTAGGCCGCTCGTTTTTTTTTAATCAACCATCACCGAAGGTCTTCACAATTGGCCTATGAACAAGATTGCACATAAGGTTTCAATTATTTGGTCGAGAATTTTTACATACATATGATGCACGCAAGGCGGTCTGTTTTAGGTGTGCAGTAAATTTCTTTTATGTTAGTTCACAAAACTGATCAACTGCAGGTTGAACTTGCGTCTTTCATGGCGTTGCGATGTTTTCCTTGGCGAGTGGTGCAATTTCCTCACCATCGATCCCGGGTTCGCTGTCAGCAACACCCAAATTTAGCAGCACTTCCTCCCACTTCTTGGCAGGCCCCTGTGCCATTACGATTCAAATGGTTCAAGAATATGCGAATGTGATTCATTGTTAAAAGGATTATCATGTTAAGAAAGGTTTCTTACCTTCCATGATAAATCTTGAGCCATGCAGTTGCCTATGATCTCAGTAAAAGCTGGGGTTCCATAAGTTCCAAGGGCTCTTGTGACGGTAGTTGCAATCGCTTGCACATCCGCAGGATCAACAACTTCACACTGAAAGGAAATTTTGGAAACTTGAACTCACACAAAAGTAGAGAAGTTATTGTGTACAGAAAAAAAGGGTTGAAATCAATTTATTTACTTCCACATTGAAACCTCCCATTTGAAATCCAGTGAATCCTTCTTTAACAGTGTCTACCAACCCACCAGTTGAGGCAACAATTGGCACCTGCACAAGCACAAGCACAGCAGTGAGTTAGTATTATTGCAAGAAGATGAAGATTTTGGAAGGAAGAAATTGTTGGAGGCAGGCATCTTACAGTTCCGTAACGCATGGCATGCAATTGAATGAGACCGCAAGGCTCAAATCTGCTTGGAACCAACATAAAATCAGCTCCGGCTGTTATCATATGGGCCAGAGGAACATTGAATTTTGCTACTCCCCGGGCTTTGTCAGGGTATTTTATCTCCAACTGTTCAAGCTGCTTCTCCATCGGCTTTTTGCCAGTCCCCTGAGGAAATTGCAGAATGCACGTGAGGATAGTATACAGGTTGGTTTTAGTGATACAACAAGCATTATGCAAGAAAATGAGAATCAACTTCCATGTTCAGTACTTACGAGGACTATGATCTGAACATTCTCTTTGATAAAATGGGGAATGGCTTCTATCAGAATATCTGAACCTTTCTGCTCTTCAAGCCTACCAATGAAACCTATGACAGGGATGTCTCTGTCCACTGGCAATCCCACTTCTGCTTGGAGGGCTTCTTTCAACAGAGGCTTTGCATCAGTCACCTAAGCAAAGCCAAATTTTTCAAACGATATTGCATCTTAAAATCAACAGAGTGTTTGCTGGTCATGGAAGTTAATGCATGATAACTAATGTTCTTACAGTAAGTTAATGCATGATAACTAAAGTTCTTACAGTTGAAGCATCATATTTGGCAGCTGTATACTTGTCAGTTAATGGATTCCACTCCTGGACGTCCATGCCATTCACAATTCCAAGAATTCCAGCTTTCCGAATAATGTTGTCCAATTCGACTCCTTTTTCAACTGTAGAAACTAGTTCTTCAGCATAATATGGGCTAACAGTCAAGACCTTGTCTGATTCTAAAATTCCAGCTTTCATCCAGTTAATTTTCCTCCCCTTCACTGGCTTGTCATAGCTGTGGAATTGGACCAATCATACTCAAGGCTCAATCATATAATAGTATGCAGTCTATGCTATATTCTGTACAAAGAAACCCTACCCATCAATGAAATCAAAGGAGCTTTTGAATTCATCTGGTAGATTGAGAAGTGCGAAGTCCGCGAATGCGAATCTGCCTTGGTAAGCAATGTTGTGAATGCAAAAGGCTACCTGTCAACAAGATTGGCAAAATAACTGGTTTTTAAGGACTCACAGCTGACTGGAATACTTATTAGTTTCAAAACAAATGAACTGGTCACCTACTTTAGCACTCTTGTATATGCCTTTAGGTTGGTATATGGCTTTCAGGTAGCATGGGAGGAGGGCAGTGTGCCAATCGTTGGCAATGAAAACGACTTCTTCTCCTGCGTGCAGAAATGCCATAGTACCAATGTAACAAATATTTTAAACAGTAGTGTTGGTTTGGAGAACTGCAGATTAGATTGCCTACCATACGGTCCCGAAAAATATTTGCTGCTGTTAAGGTTCAGAACTCTTGGTGCTTCTAGAGCTGCCTAAAACATACAATTTATACAATCATGAGAATATAAGCATAAAATTGTTGGGGGTCAAAAAAGAGAGAAGAATCAGTAAATACAGCTAGACTGATGCAAGGATATAAGAATATACGATGCAAGGACCGACTGATGTACAAATGAAGATTACAGGGAAACTAAGTGCATATTTGATCTAAGACTTAATTGACAGAATAATTTCCAGGGGATTAACTTGAATAGAAAAAGCAACCCAAACGTTAGGCCGCACTTGATCCGTATTAGTTAGTTGTTGTTTCTTTTTGGGGTTTTGTCCCCCCTATCTCATAAAAAGAAGCAACCCAGAAGATGGAGATTACTAACCTGGCATAGCAGGCTGAATCTAAGTTGGTTGTCCTTGAAATCCTCTCCAGTAATGGGTCCGTAGATTTTGGATGCAGTTTTTCCCCAAACCTGAAACACCAGTCATCAAGCGGAAAACTTTCCTCTTTTCCAGCTAACAGAAACTATTGGAAAGGAAGAACATTGATTCATAAGACCAACCTTTTCAAGAAACAGTGGGTGATCCACAAACACACGATCAACTCCTCTTTTGTAGCAATGAAAGAAGCGAACCTTTTCAGTTTTTTCTCCCACCTTAACCTAAATAGCAGAGAAATAAATAATTTCACCATAACCAAACAAAATTCATTGTCCTCCCATTTAAATATGAACGTTATACAATTTATAATATACACAACCTCAATTGTAACTTCTGTATCCCATGCATCTTTGTACTGGTCGTATCGCGGAGAAACAGTCATCACTCGATGGCCATTTGCCTGAAGAAGAATTAATTTGCTTGTTATAGTATCATTGATTATAAGAAATGAATTATAAGGCAAGAGAGGAAGCAGAAGCTTACTGCCATAGCTGGTGGCAGGCCTCCAAGAACGTCTCCAAGTCCACCAGTTTTGCTCCATGGGCCAACTTCTGTTCCCAGAAACACTAAATTCATCCCACTTCCACAAACAATGGTTGCTGCCGGTCTTGAACCAGTCCCAGTACTGTTGAAAGATTTGCTCCTTGCTTGCCTTGCAATTGAATTTCCCATGATTTTGACGCGGAGCTCGTCCACTGTGTTCAAAGCTCTTAACCCATTGTGAGTCATGGCCTGTTTTCCAAAACCCATTTTCTTATATCCCGTTTTAGGCTCTGATACAGAAGATACAGCGCCATAGCTGACATGGGAACTTGTTGAGGCAAAGCTTGAAGCAGTGACAGTTGCCATTATTAATTATTGGTGATGTTATGTTCTGTAAAAAGAGCGAACATAAAACACAAAATGCATAACAAATCAAATCAAATCCAATAACAAGATTAGAAGCAAGCAATAAACAAAGCAAAACTGAGTACCTAGCCAGCCACAAGCTGCAGTGAGTGTGTTCTTTCTTCTTCTGAAAATGATGAGGAAGGAGCTGCACTTGCACTTTGTGGTGGTTTTTAAGCAATTAAGCCAGAGGGTGTAGTTGTACTTTCCAGTTTGCAAAAGGTCACTGAACTCATGGTTGAGGGGTTTGAAATGCCCAGAACCTCAAGATTCATTAGCGGTGTACAGAGTGCGAGAGACTAGGACTCATGGGACCAACCAGCTGCATAATAAGAGAACAGAGCAGAATATGCCTAAAGATATTTGTTTTGGTCGTCTGCAAATTGCTCTCAATTCTCAAATCCACCTTTGGAGTAGAGTCCAACAACAAGACGGGGAAACAGCTTTAATTTGTCTCCTATCTCACTACTTGGCCGCATTGGACATAGTTTTTATAGTTTTGTGGTTATTGTCAATTCTAGCTGAAGCCTATCTCGACAACAACCGCGCATCGTTACCAAAGTGACAGCAAGTCTGCAACCACTGTTAGGCAGCTGCCACGTTGTTCCAAATAAAACGACATGTCGTCATTTTACTCTCCTTCCCAATTTTGTTTGACGACCATGACGAAGCAGTAGCAGCCAATGACGGATCCAGGATTCTTTGGTCAAGGGGTCACAATGTAAAAACTTCGAAATTTTTTTAGAAGAAAATAACACTAGAAAAACAGAAAAATAGTTTCCATCCAAATTTCAATTGTACACGACGAGTTCTCTTTTAAAAACTTTGTATTATAATTTCATAAATCATTTATTTTTTAATTGATTGTTTTGAAGCTTAAAAGTACGGAGGTATTCAATTATGATTTTTAAGTAATCAATAAAAATCTGGTGGTATTCAATTAGCATTTTTAAATAATCAATACAAGTCCGGTGGTATTCAATTAGGACTTTTAAAAGATAAGAAAAGGTACCGTGGTATTCAAAAACTTACTGATTTTGAGGTATTTCATTAAATGATGTATTGTGCAAGACTTTTGAGTGTGTGATATAAATACCAAATCACATAACAAATCTCATCTTCTTATGCCTGATTCTCATATATGCTCTCATACTTTTTTTTTTCTCACTATTTTTGTATTCTTTCGACTATACATAAAAAAAAAACTTTTCATAAGAGAGACGATAAAGAAACATTAACAAGAAAGACGATATTGCCTCTTCTAGAGCTAATGAGCATTTTCCAAAAGCTCTTCTTTCCCTGTAGACAAGCTTATTTGGAGCAAAATTATATTTTCGATACTTTATTTTAAGAATCTCCTCCTCATTGTAGACATTTCATCGCAAGGAGTTGTAGCCCTCCACAACTCTACCAGTGTGCCCACAAGTTGCTTGATCTAATGCCTCAAAGAGGCCTTTTTATTTATTTATTTACTTATGCGTAGTGCTAAATATTTTTTCTAATTCCCTGTCCCAAAACGTTTGGGACCAGGACAAAGCAAAAAATAGAAAGAAGAAGTCTTACCCACAATCTAGAAGAAACGTTGATAAGGTGCAAGGTGTTTTTTTCACTCCACAGTTTTCGTCAAAGCTTTGACAAACTAGTAGTCATGGGGTTGGGCTAGGAGTTTTCAGTATGTTTCTTTACTTTGTATTTCTGGTGCTATCTGTTTTGCGTTAGGTGTTGGTGGTTTTGGATGTAGCTTCTAGCCTCTACTATTGCTTTTGTATTTTTATTGTTGGTTTCTCAGTTGTGTTGCGTTTCTTTAACATATTCATTCTGGTGATGTGTGGCTATGTTGGAAGTTATATTGTTGATGTCGGTATACTCTCCGTAGACTAACCTTTGATGGTTACTGTGCCTCTATCTTTGTATTAACCCTAAAAATTGGGTATATTCCTTCAAGTTATGTATTTAGGTGACTGATGATGGGTGATAGAGTTCAAGCTTGAATAGAAATATAAGTAAAATCATGTAATTGCAATCTATTAAAATTATAAGTAAAATCCTAAGTGAATTAAAATCATAAGTAAAATCATGTAATTGCAATCTATTAAAATCATGAGCAAAATCATATGATTACAAATCCAACTGAAATCCATTACATTAAAATCATGTAATTACAATCTATTAAAATCTCAATTGAAATACATCCCCTTAGGCACTTTTGTTTATGTCTCATCTAAAAGAGTATCATTTTTTATGAAGAATACAATTATAATGTATAGAGACTACATATAAACTACAATACTCTCATTTTCTTTTTCAAAAAAAAAAAAAAAAAAAAAAAAAAATACATATAACATGTTTGCTGTTATTAGCGTCCCCCACTTATATTTTTATGTTGTTTTCAAAGCAAAATAGGCTTTCAGGAAAAAAAAAGAAAAAAAAAGAAAAAAAGACTAGCTCACGACACAGCAGACAGCACGAATCAAAGATACACTCTTTTTTCCCCCTCTCCAGTCAAATTCTCTGTCTGTGGCTCTTCTTCCAGTGACTATTTAGCAGCAGCAGCTTGGCTGCACCAGCATGACCAAGAAGGTGACTCAATTCGAACCACAACTTGCCATGGAACTCGACCTCGACTCCTTCCTCAACTCACACCTTTCCCTCTCCGATGAAGACGACGACGACAACCTTAATTCCGTCCCTCACTGTACGATCGACGAAATCCTCAACGACTCTGATTCGTCCGCGTCATCGTCCCCGCCCTCCACTATCCACCGCCTCGCATCTGATCCCAAACCACTACATCCGCCCACCGACGCCGTATCAGTCTCCAGCGCTAAATCCAACGAGTCCAGTCAAGTCCAGCCGAGGCCCAATTTGTACACTCGGGTCAAGTCCGGCGAGTTATCGGATGATCCGGTCGGAAAGGTTTCGAAGCCGTCGCCATGGTTGCTTGGAGGCATAAGAACAAATGCGAAGCCAGGGGCGGCGCTCGCGGCTGCTGCGGCGGCCTCGAGGTCGATGCCTACGCCGCACGCGGCCGCGATCAAATCGAAGAGGAGTGCCGGGAGTGGAATTTTCCAGAAGGTTCTGGAGAGTACGGAATTGGATGATAAATCCGAGGTAGGGTCCAATTCTAATAATGATACGAATGTAGGAAGTTCTGAAGTGACTGAGTCAAATTCGAATGAAGGAGAAGTGGACTTTGGTGATGAATTGTTGAGAAAAGGTAGGGTTTGGGAGAGGGAGAGGGAGTTAGAGGAAATGTCTCAAGGTATTGAAGTAAGTTCTAGGAATGCTCCGGAAGAAGTGAAAAATGTTAGTTTTGATGAGAATTTGACAAATTTAGATGCAAATGATGTTAAAGATACTGAATTTAACAATAATGTTGAGGTTGTAGAGGAATGTCAACCAGAAATACAAGATATAGATGAAAACAGTCCTGGTTCCAAACATAGCGATAGTGAGGAGGAGCGTCTTGGTGATGGTGGTGGTGGCGGTAATGATAATGACGGTGAGGGTGGTGGTGGTGGTGATGATGATGACAATAATAATGATCGTGATAGTGATGATGATGGTGAATTGGGAAGTTCAATCACTCAACTTGTGGAGGAGAGAATTGGGCAGTTGGAGAGCAGGAGGATCAGTAAAAAAACTGAAAAGAAATTGCAGAAGCCTCTCGAAATTGCTGAAGAGCTAGAGAAGAAGCAAGCTTCTACTGCTTTGCATTGGGAAGAAGGTGCTGCTGCTCAACCCATGAGGCTTGAGGGTGTTCGGAGAGGCTCCACCACATTGGGATACTTCAATGTCGATGCTAACAATCCCATTACCAGGACCCTTTCAGCTCCAGCATTACGGCGTGATCATGGTTCACCGCAAGTCTTGGCGGTTCATAGTAATTACATTGCAATAGGAATGGCAAGAGGTGCTATTCTTGTTATCCCTAGCAAATACTCTGCTCATAATGCTGATATCATGGATGCAAAGGTTACCTTCCATTCCTATGTTTTAGTTTTAACTTCCTATGATAGAGAGATAGGTGACTACATGTTAACAAACTATGCTATATATGTTCCAGATGCTAATTCTTGGATTGCAAGGAGAACGATCTTATGCTGCAGTGACTTCTATATGCTTCAATCAGCAAGGGGACCTGCTCTTAGCGGGTTATGCTGATGGTCACATTACAGTTTGGGATGTACAGAGGTCATCCGTTGCTAAAGTAATTACTGGAGAACATACAGCTCCAGTTGTACATACATTGTTTTTGGGGCAGGATTCTCAAGTTACACGTCAATTTAAGGCAGTTACCGGTGATAGTAAGGGTCTGGTACTGTTACATTCTTTCTCTGTGGTTCCCCTGCTTAATAGGTTCTCCATTAAAACACAGGTAAAGCTTTTTATTTGCATTGTTTTTAGATATATTCCTGTAGGATTGTGTTTAAAATTGCTTGCTTTTGAGCTGATGTGTGATATTCAACAATGCAATTCTATCAAACTTGCAGATCTTGTGGATGTTGATTGGAACGGTGCCTTCTTGATGGACAAAGAACGGGCACAGTGCTGTCAGCTTCACCCCTCCTCTTTGATGAATTCTCTGGAGGGGCTTCACAATCTGCTCAGGGAAATGGTACAGTTACAGGTAGCAGTATTGGTGGTATGATGGGGGGAGTGGTGGGTGGAGATGCACGTTGGAAACTCTTCAATGAGGGATCTTCTTTGGTTGAAGAAGGTGTGGTCGTATTTGTCACCCATCAAACTGCTCTGGTGGTATGAAGCCCTCAGATGATAGCGTGAATTCCGTGTACCTTTCATTTTGGGAATTAATGCTTGCCTCTTTGTAAAAGACTTTCTTTCACAGTTTGTTAATGCCATGTGTCTTTGTTGCAGGTAAGACTAACTCCCAATTTGGAAGTCTATGCACAACTTAAAAAACCAGAGGGGGTTCGGGAGGGTGCCATGCATTGTACTGCTTGGAAATGTACAACGCAATCACGCCGTTTACCTGCTAATACTGGTAAGGATTGACTTTCTTTGTTAAATTTCCTGTTGACGGCTTCCTAAGCTGGGGTTTTTTTTTGGGTAGAAAATATGCCCGCTGAAGTAGTTGAAAGAGTTTCGCTACTTGCAATTGCTTGGGATCGAAAAGTTCAGGTGGCAAAGTTGGTCAAATCAGAGCTGAAAGTATATGGTAAATGGTCTCTTGAAAGTGCAGCCATAGGTGTGGCTTGGCTGGATGATCAGGTATGCTCTTGTTTATTCGTTTTCTGTGATACTGAATTTTTGTTTTTCTGCCCTTGAAATGGTTGAGGAGTCTTGTTTACTTCACAATAGAATGAGTATAATTTGAGGTTTTATGGCTTCAGATGCTGGTGGTTCTTACGATGACTGGACAACTTTGTTTGTTTGCGAAGGATGGAACTGTAATTCACCAAACAAGTTTTTCTGTAGACGGTTTTGGAGGGGATGATCTTATTGCTTATCATACTCACTTCGTTTATATTTGGGAATCCTGAAAAGCTTATCACAATTGTGTAGCTCTAAGAGGAGCTTCTGTATATGTACTTGGACCTATGCATCTTATTGTTTCCCGGCTTCTCCCATGGAAGGAACGAATTCAGGTTTTAAGGAGTGCAGGTGATTGGATGGGTGCCTTGAACATGGCAATGACAATTTATGATGGCCAAGCTCATGGTGTTGTTGACCTTCCTAGAACCCTGGTTGCTGTACAGGAGGCCATAATGTCCTACCTGGTTGAGTTACTTTTGTCATATGTAGAGGAAGTATTTTCATATATATCAGTAGCATTAGGCAACCAAATTGGAATTATGGATCAAGTTGACGACTTAAACAGCAAAAGCAGTTCTGTGCATTCTGAAATAAAAGAGCAATACACCCGTGTCGGTGGAGTTGCAGTTGAATTCTGTGTCCATATCAAGAGGACTGACATACTTTTTGATGAAATCTTTTCCAAGTTTGTAGCTGTTCAACAGAGAGGTATTCTCAATCCAGTGTGTTTTTGCATTTGATCCTTCTGTTAACTTCATGCGTTTTTGTAGCTGAAGTTTGGGTTTCTGGATTACAAATTTTTTCTATTGAAATGAAAAAAATAAATATGAGAGTCATCCTTTGGTGTTCATATGCTTATGAAGAGGGAAACTTCATGTTGCTAAACACATATGGTTAAGTCAGAATGACCTTTTAAAATGTGTAACTGTGTTGCATCAACAAGACATGAAATAAATTGTCTTACCACAACTCATAATAAGTGTCATACTCAACACTGAAGTGAATGGCATTTTTTATTCTTTTCTGAAAGAGGGATGAAGTGAATAACATATGTCCTGCCATTATAGGCTTGAACTTTTCTTCTTTTAGAATAATTTTATTGGAAGTATTCAGAACCACGCATGTTAACTTTCTTTCATGTTTTGAGGGTGTCTGGATTAATACTTTGACATATGATAGATCAATGCAATTAAGTTTTAGGAATGGTGTATCTCTTTTTGGCTTCTGTCGGCTGTTGTTTTGCAGCATTGTTTCGTATCTTGAAGCTACATACACATATAATTTTTATCCATCATTGCATGGTACCAATATTTTTCTTTTAAAATTTTCTTAGACACATTTTTGGAGCTGTTGGAGCCATATATATTGAAGGACATGCTTGGTTCTCTTCCACCTGAGGTATTGCATAATGTTCAAGCATTTTGGCTGTATTGGCAGCTATGTTATACATAATAATGCTCTTTCCCTTCTCCCTTTTCTGAAGATTATGCAAGCACTGGTAGAGCATTATAGCCGGAAAGGATGGTTACAGCGTGTTGAACAATGTGTTCTCCACATGGATATTTCATCCTTGGATTTCAATCAGGTCTGTACTTCTCAGATTTTTGCTTATCATTTTTTATTTTTTATTTTTATGTTGCGTTGGTTTTGTTTGTTGTTGTTTTCACCTTGACTCACAGATAATGCATTATGTTTTCTTGTAGGTTGTTAGGTTATGCCGGGAGCATGGATTGTACAGTGCTCTGGTGTATCTCTTCAATAAAGGTTTGGATGATTTCAGGTCACCTTTAGAGGAACTGTTGGTGGTCTTGCAAAATAGTAAAAAAGAAGGTGCTACTGCCCTTGGGTATGATTGTCTTGATACGTTACCTTTGTGTACTATTGAGTTTGAAAAGTTTATATGTAGTTTATCATGCGATTTTAGTTTGCTTCTCCTTTGATCATGCATCATCCCTACTCCTTTATTATTATCCTACTGAAAGAATATAATGAGTCGTATCACATTATTTCATGTTACTTCTTGGCTGCATTTTGTCAGTTTTCCAATGAGGCTTTTAAGTGTTCTTATTTTATTTTGTTCTTGTTTACAGTTACCGGATGCTAGTTTATTTGAAGTACTGTTTTTCAGGCCTTGGTTTTCCACCAGGTATGGACTTCACTTATTGGAGTTGTTCAATTGGAATGTCAAAGTATATCCCTCTGTGTAATAATCCCATCTAGAAGTGGCTGTGTGGGTCTTGAAATAGGTAATTCATAGAAAAGAGATAAATCTTACAGTATATGAAGTGGTGAAGGAAGACTATCATTCTTTTCTACTGGAACACATGTTTGAATCACTTGCATAGCTTCATTTCTTGCTGGATGTTAACTCAAGCAATCTGATTAAGAGAGTTTGCATTAATTATCTCTATTTGCAGGACAGGGGACAATTCCTCCTCCACGCTTGCCATCTCTCAGAACAGAACTTCTGCAATTTTTGTTAGAGGGTTCTGATGCTCCTAATTCAAGAGCAGGAGGAGGAGAATATCTTAACCTGTATTTTCTCTTGGAGCTAGATACTGAAGCTACTTTAGATGTTCTGAGATGTGCGTTCATTGAAGATGAAATCTCAAAACCCGACGTTTCTTCTCATGATTCAGCTGATGCAAATATGGAGCTGCCAGATGGGAATAATTCGATGGCTCAAAGTCAGAATTCAATGGTTCAAAATACAGTAGATACTCTCATTCATATTGTTAGTAAGGGCATCTCCCAAACAGATGGATCTCTTAGCAATGATGAGACTGCATCAACAGTAGAGTGGCCTTCAAAGAAAGACATTGGTCATCTGTTTGAGTTTATTGCGTACTATGTTGCATGTGGAAGAGCTAATGTCTCGAGACATGTACTGTCTCAAATTTTGGAGTACTTGACGTCAGAGAATAACTTTCCATCATGGGTTTCTGGAGATACCATAACTTCAAAAAAAAGAGAGAAGCAGGTTCTTGGTCTTCTTGAGGTAGTGCCTGAGACTGATTGGGATTCATCTTATGTGTTACAGCTATGTGAGAAAGCACGATTTTACCAGGTAAATTTACCAATATCTTATGATGTTGTCAGTATCATGTTGTTACAGTTCATTCAGTTTGAGATTACTCACTAGAATGTCTCCCTTGGAGTTTTTTAGGTTTGTGACCTAATTCATAACAGCAGGCATCAGTATCTTGCTGCTCTGGATTGCTACATGAAAGATGTAGATGAACCCATTCATGCCTTCTCCTTTATCAACAAAACATTATTACAGTTGACTGACAATGAATCCGCCACTTTTCGATCAGAAGTAATTTCTCGAATTCCAGAGCTTTTTGACTTAAACAGGTTATCCCTTAGTTATCTTGAATTTCTCTTTCTTTTTCCTTTTTCACATGTTAAGTAATATTTTGGTTATTTTCTTCAGTGGCGGTCTTCCTTCTCAGTTATTCGATCACAAATATTTTCTTATTCTATGCAGAGAAGGCACATTCGTCTTGGTTATCGACCATTTTACTAGTGAAGAAGGTTCGCATATCCTCTCTGAACTTTGTTCCCATCCAAAAAGCCTATTCCTTTACTTAAAAACGGTGATTGGGGTTCACTTATCTGGCACACTCGACTTTTCAAGTTTAAGAAAAGATGATCTTGTGAGGGTGAAGGATCAATCAAAAGCAGTTGAGGCTTACTTGGAAAGGATCTGTGATTTCCCAAAGCTTTTCGTAACAGTCCTGTTAATGTGACTGATGATATGATTGAACTTTATCTGGAGGTGAGCACTTTGTTTGTACAATTACATCTTTTTTTATTTATTTTTAATTTCCTTTCTAATTTGATTTTATTGAATGAACCTGTGTCTCAGTTGCATCATATTCTCTTTGTGATTCCTTTGTTTTCCTGGATATTGTCAAGTCAAGTGCTCAGTTGAATGATTATTCCTTCTGGCTAGGGAGATAATATTGTTCTTATTGTGTCAGTATATTCATTTTGGCCAAATTTTCAATACAAGACTTGAAAGAGTTGAGCGAGTGTGTTTCGTGGCTACACTGGTTTCTGTACAATAAAGCTTGTCCATGACATTGCCCTCTTAGTGTGTTACTTCCAATTTGATTATGTTCAGCAACTACTTATGATGAAATCACAATGATACCACCTCAGGTTCTAAATGTTTTGCTTTTTGCTTTTTCAGCTGTTATGTCAGTATGAGCGCAATTCAGTTCTCAAATTCCTAGAGACTTTTGATAGCTATCGCGTGGAACACTGTTTACGTCTGTGCCAGAAATATGGGATAACAGATGCTGCGTCATTCTTGTTGGAAAGGGTTGGTGATGTTGGCAGTGCTCTTTTACTTACACTTTCCACCCTCAATGAAAAATTTATCAAGCTTGATACTGCTGTGGGAAGTCTGGTATCAAGTGGTTCTGCACGTACTGAGCATTTCAGCAATGCTTTAAAATTGGAGGAGGTCCGTGATTATTTGAATCAGAGCATGTGATTAAGTTTTAATTTTTATGTTTCTATAGATTCACTTAATAGTTATATATTATTCGTAATCTTTCTCATGTAGGTGAGCGACATTAACAGTATATTGCATGCCTGTATTGGATTGTGCCAACGGAACACCCATTGTTTAAATCCTGATGAATCAGAGGCACTCTGGTTTAGATTACTGGACTCGTAAGTTCAAAATCAAAATTTCAATTTTCTTTCCCACCAAGTTTTCCTTGCATACGATTATCTGACTATTTTACACTCCCTGATTTCAGCATTATTGTAGTCTTGAAGTACATGGTCGTGCATATTTTGAAGACTAATAATCCTCCAAATTTCAATGCAGGTTTTGTGAGCCTTTAACGGATTCCCTTAATGCTGGAAGAGTATCTAAAGGAGACGATCTTAAAACAGTGGTAGCTGAGTCATTGGAATCAGAAGAGGATGGGGTGGCTTTTATTATAGAGTGGAGAATCTCAAAGCTCCATAAAGGAGCTCATATCTTAAGAAAAGTGTTCTCTCGGTTCATCAAGGAGATTGTTGAGGGCATGATAGGTTATGTTCGCCTTCCAACCATCATGTCCAAACTCCTTTCTGATAATGGTAGACAGGAATTTGGTGATTTTAAATTCACAATATTGGGGATGCTTAGCACATATGGCTTCGAAAGACGAATTCGGGTATATCATCTTTATATCTCATATGACTTGGTGGATATGTGACTTTTCCCTTTCTCTTGGGAAGTTATTGTTGTTCAGTCAACTTCCTCTTCATTCTTCTCATTGCATTTAAATAATTTCATCTGTTATGTAGGATCAGTGTTTTCAAAGGCATGCCTAAGCGCGCATTGGAGCGCGCGTCGGAGCGAGGCGGAGGGAAATCGCCTTAGGCGTACGACTGTTTAGCTTGTTGCACGCTTAGCGTGTCGAGGCGTGGTGAGGCGTGCATCGAGAGGCATGGTGAGGCGCAAAGAAGCGCCGCTGTCTGCAACCCAGGCAAGAGGAAGAAGACGACCTGACTTGAATTTTTTTTGTTAGGGTTTGTTTCAATCAAACTACATCGTTTCATCTAGCTGAGTGTTTTTTTTTAACTGAGGCTTAAACGCACGTTTTGGTTTTTATTTTTTAAACAAACATCATGCCTTTTAAGCCCCCACTGAACCAAACAAAACATCCCTCTTTTTTTCTTCTAAATAAATACATTAATGGACCTATATGTATATTCCTAATGCGATAATCTCCATCAATTTAAATTCTCTCCATAAGTTGAAGCGTCTCTCTCTTTCAGTATGCAATTCTCTTTGTACAAGATTTATATATATATATATATATATATGTTAGTTTTTTTTTCTTTCCAAACAACACAATATCCATAAAACCCACTAAAAATAACACTCACGTCCACACATAAATGCTGAAAATCATAGCATTTTATGTTTCATTATGGGGAGTGGGATGCATGAATTGAGTTATTCTTTTGATATTGAATAAGTATTTTATGTTTTGAGATTGATTATTATGCTTGAATGGTATTTAGTACTTACATTTTTGATAGAATATTTTGGGTCAATAAGAATTAGTAGTACAATTTATCTGTATTGTATTATTTATAATTTTTTTATTATTAAAAGAAATTAATGTTTAAAAGGCTTACGCCTCAATGCTTCAAGGCTTACGCCTTGCATAGCAGACTAAAAACGCATCGCCTCTACGCCTCGCTTTTTAAAACATTGTGTAGGATACTGCCAAGTCCCTGATAGAAGATGATACATTCTACACTATGAGCATACTCAAGAAAGGGGCCTCTCATGGGTATGCCCCTCGGAGTCAAATATGTTGTATATGTGATTGTCTTCTTGACAAGAACTCTTCTAGCTACATTCGCATTTTCAATTGCGGTCATGCAACACATCTTCAATGCGAAGTTTTGGAGAATGCCACATCAAGTAGTAGCTCATCCTCCGGATGCCCAGTTTGTATGCCTAAGAAGAAATCTCAGAGGTCCAGAAACAAATCGGTCCTTCCAGAGGAGAGTTTAGTGAAGGGGTTTTCTTCAAGAACCCAACAAATACACGGAACAACTGTCCACCCATATGAAAGCAATGCATCAGAGAATACCTATGGGCTTCACCAAATAACACGAGTATGGCAATGTCATATCATTTTTGTCATGATCGTCATTTTGTTTTATCATTGTTGTTGTCATTGTCATTTCTATTTTGTGGACTGGTCTTACACTGAAAACTAATGAAAAACTGGAATTGGATGTTGCAGTTTGAGATGTTGACCAATTTGCACAGAAACCGAGGATTGGTCGAGATTGAAAACATGCCTCAACTGAGGCTTGCACCTCCAGCTGTGTATCATGAAAAGGTTCAGAAAGGAACTGTTCTTTCATGAGCAGAAAGTAGCAGTGATCTTGCGAGAATAGGGAAACAAAGTAAAACCAAGCAACTCAGGGAGCTAAAAGTAAAGGGGTCATCTCTTCGGTTTCCCTTAAAGTCAAACATATTCGGTAATGGTACGTATGTCATTCATTCTTGTGTAATTGTTCTCAAATTTGTGAAGGTGTCCAGTTTTAACGCGTGGATTCATTTTCCAGGCAAGGAGAAAACCAGCAAGCGGTGACATTATCATCATGTACACAACTAACAAAAACACTAGAGTTGGAATTCTGCAAAGGCTATACAATAACTGATATCTTTAAGTACCGTTTTAGCTGAGTTTTTAACCACCCCCCACCCACTTCGTTTTCCTCTGTTACATGTAATTCTTTCTATGTTAATTTGTGTCTCTACTTAAAGCTGTTGTAAACTCGTAATTACTTTGTAAAGTAGTACCAGTTTTGTATATGATTCATAGAAAGGCACTTGGCATTTGTAGTGAAATCAAAATACAATCCATCATTAATGATGCAGTATTTTATCTTGGATGGTTGATTTGGTCTGTCATAGAGAATGCTCTTTTTTCTCTTATATATTTATTATTTTCTTACCAACGCAGATCAACGAAATTCTTTTTCTTAAGGAAGAAAGCCAAAAAGGTTTTAAGACGTAGAGAAGGTAGAACAAGAATATGGTGTTTAGATTTCAAAACTCACAGGCTAAACAACCAAACCAACTAAACAAAAAATAACATAAATTTTTTAAAAACAAGTTATAGAGGGCCCAACCGGGTTCGAACCGGTGACCTCTTGATCTGCAGTCAAATGCTCTACCACTGAGCTATGGACCCTGATTGGTTCTAGTTGCTTCATTTTGCGCATATAAACGTGTCTTTGTGTATCTTAAAATGGCAACCTATTCTCGATTTTCAGCTTTGCTAGGATTCATTCAGGACTGTTTGAATATTATTTTGAAAGGAGTAGCAAGTAGCAAACACCAAATAACAATTTCAAGATGCCTTGACAAACCTGAGTAGCATTTGCCTAATTTGTTCATCCACAACAAATGGATCATATACTAAATTGAGATATTGCAAACACAAACTTGTCTGTGAGCCTTAGCTGAAGTCCTCAGACATACATGTTCGTTGCTTTAATTTTCCCTTGAGCAACCAGATAAAAGATTATTTCCATCAGGCACTTAAATTCATGGAAACTGTACAAGTGTAATCCTGTTGAAACCTTATCAACTCATGTGACTACCAGATTTGCTGTTTGAGTTATAAGCTTAAGGCACAAAAATCTGGTGCTGCAAAAACATCGGATTTTACACATTCGCCAACACAATCCACCAATTTTCCTTCGTGTTTTTTAATAATTCATTAAGATGGATTCTAGAGAAGAGTGCGTGTCATGTAGAAATCATATGCTTAATGGTATTTGTAAAAGCTTATGACATTTCTACCATCAGAAAATGTGCTGCTTTCGCTCCTTCAAGTTCAAAGATTGCCAATGCACAATTAGATTTACCAATCAACTTGTTGAAAAGTAAAGCCAAACAAAATTCACCAACTTAGAAATGAGAAGGAAATGCCCGCATTGAGATTCAGAGGAAATGCAAGTAGATACTAGAAAGTTGCTGCATATACATCAAGACAGAAAGGGAATCACGTAAAATTCTCCGCACTACCATAGCTGACAGTCAATCCTCATCTTCTGAGCTTGCATCATCGCTAGTATAATCACTAGTATCATCGTCTTGGTCCGGAATATCCAGCTGAACATGCTGAACCTGTATTGTCGCTGGTGCTCTAGGTAATGGTTGATGAGCATTAGGCCGTAATTGTTGCTCTTCGACCCTGGGAGCTGGAGCAGATCCAAGTGGGGGCAAAGGCACTGGGTCCCCAGGCTTCCATCCAGGTGGGGGCACAGGTACATCGCTTGGCAACTCCACAGGCATCCCCGGTATCCAACCTGACGGAACCGTGATATTTGGAGGAAGTAGACCCTGGAGTGCACCCAGCTTGGGAAGTTGATTGGCTTCTGTTGGCTCAGGACGTGGGGCCTCTAATATTGTGTGAATTGTTTCCTCCTCCCTCTCAACTGTCTTAGGTAAACCAACATCAAGGTTTGCAAAATTGTATAGCTGAGAAGCACGCATTTGCTCATCCTGTGGGGCAGGCGGGAGTGCCCCACGAAGAGGAGCTTGTCCAGCCCCAAATTCTGGTGGTGCAAAGGTTGTGTAGCTTATCCGGTGGGCATATGATAAAATATCTGATAAATTCAACTGAGATGCAACAGTGGTGGTGGTGCATGAAGAATCATCTTCTGTACCATCCTCCTGTTTTGTCCGTTTGGGGCGGCTAAAATCAGAGTAATCATCAACAAGATTATCAAGAACCTGCTCGACATCCTTGAGTTTCTTGGAAAAAGAAAGAAGTGCAGCATCCTTGGACCGCACTTCGCGTGCAATTTTCAGCTTAGCGTCCTGAAGATCAAGAATTTCTTGGAGTTCAGCAACAGCCTCAAAGAGTTGGGTTTGAAGGGCAGTGAACTGGGACAGGATCTCTTTGGTGGAGGAAGGAGAAGAGTCAGGTGCGGTTGAGGGCAGTGATTGGGATTGGGAAGAAAGAAAGGTCGGGAAGGACCCACGGAATGCATTGAGCCAAAGGGATCGATTCGGCGAGACTTCAAAGAGTTTAGAGGCAAGGGAGGCCATTTGGATGAGAAGGGATTGGGCTCTAGGGAGGGGTGCGAGGAGAGAGAGAAGGGTTGGGGAGAGACTGGGTTGCTGTGAAGGGAGTTTCGGAGGGGTAGGGTTTTGAAGAGAGGGTGAAGTGGGGTTTGTTAGGCCTAACCTAGCTGGGGATTGTACAATTTGGGGTTGCAGCATTTTGGGATTCACTTGTTTCCTCAAAGCATTCTACCAACAAGAAATTGAACATATTACATACTTGATAAATAACAGAAATACCATATAAGCCAACGGGCAAACGTTCACAGCATGGAGAACCAAAATTAATTAAAAGAAAAAGGACACTCACCAACAGAATTCAGAAACAAAAGTAGCGAGCTAGAAGCTGCTGTATAAAGGAGCCCCAATGTTGCTTTGCTACAGAACCATCCCGTTTTCTTTGTTTTCAGCTGCTCAAAAAGCTGCAAAATCTACACTTCTTAGAAACATAAACAGGCCCTCTGAATTTATAAATAAAATTTGTTGAAGCAATCGTTTAACGAACTTGATCCAACCCAAAACTGGAAAAACAAGAAGATGCCAAGATCAAACAAAATTATAAACCGGGAAAAATTTCTGGGTAATCCTAAATTGAACTCGCCCACATCCGAAATAGACCACCCAAGTCAGACAAAACCAAAGCTACCCAAATCTTTCATCATAAAATCAAAAAGAGAAAAATTGTGACTAAGAGAAACAGCTCAATCAGCAATGGAGAATGAGAAAGAGAGTCGGTTTATACCTCAGCTGGTTTCGTGAGAGAGAGTGACGGTAGAATACTTTTGCTAGTTTTTTTGTTTGTGCTCTATGACTTTCATGGTAGAATGGTTCTTGGCTGCTGAAAATTTAACCTGATCTGCTCCAGTGCCTAGGCTAATAGAGCCAGCCCAAATTGTTTGAACCGGGCGCACTTAGAATGCTCAGACCCTAAATCCCACATGAAGCCATTTCCACAGCTACGCATTATTATGAGAATGAGTGCTGCGATTCACAAGTACAACAGGGTCAGAAAAACTCCAAAAGTAATTTCATGCATCTGTGTGTACGAACACTATATAAGCAAGAACAAAGAAAACACCAGATTCATGCACGAAAAAGCATCTTAAGATTCATGCAAGAAAAAGCACAAGATATGAGGTCCTCAGAAAGAAGAAAAAAAGGCTTATGAAATCAAAATAATTACAGGATATGAAAATTTTTATTTAAACAAGAAGAAATGAAAGAGTAAGCCAAAACTAAAGTCTTGCAACACCAGACATAAACTAGAGAGTCTAGAAAGGAGTAGCATTCGTACAATAAAAATCTCTGTTCCAACATCTCATAAAAGTACAATTCTGATTCAAGTTTCTCTTTCTTGTCGGACTCTAGAACCTTGTGGAGAAATATGTTTCACCTAAACAAAGGAACCATATATCTTCTATCTTCCGAAACTAGAACTTAAGAGTTTAAAATACAAGACCAAAGAATTATATCAAACAGGAGAAAGCTTTTTAAAACAATAAATCAATATGCCAATATCACAGCACAGTGACCCAAAGCAATCTATCAAGCAGAACCTAAAGGGAACTAGGATGCTACTAACTTGCAGACCTTGCAGCTTCTCGTGTTGTGGAACAAACACTTACAGCATAACATGATACTCAACTAAATACATATATCAAACCCTTTATCCAACATTTTTGAAACTCCATTAACATGTGAAACTCAATTAGTATGAACAAAATTGATAAAGGTGGCAATAACTAAGGAGTCTCTAAGACTCAATTGCTAAGTTTTAGTTGTTAATAGAGATCAGCATCCCACTCTCCAAGTATTTCAGTTCTAACGTATGACCTACCTTTCAGTACCCTTATATTGAAACAGAGATAAAATTCCATTATCTTAGCACCTAATTAGCCATTTTATTGCTATCTATCTACATCTCTATTCCACCAAGAAGGTGACTTCCAAGAAAACATACGACAAAATGCATCTTTTCTTAAGGGTTCAGGCAATCAACCCAGATAGCTGCTTCAAGATTGAAGAACACAAAGTTAACAAAAGTTATATCAGACCCAATTAGCAACTACATGATTGGAGGTTACAGTCCAGAGAATCACTCATAGACCCACAATATTTGAATTGAAGTTCTAAAATATATTAAGTATAAGATTTACCATAAAGAAGATTAACCCTGCCTTGAACCGAGCGATTTGTGCTTTGAACCGTAATGTAGAACACCCCAAACACCCTTTAGCGCAGGCCTCCAATCGTCATTATCCTCTGCTTCGAGATCTGGAGAGAAAAGAGAAAAGAATGAGAAAGAAAAAGCCCAAAGCTCTCGACTTTTGATTTTGACCCAGAATATTGAAAACCAAATCGTTGGTCTCTTTCAAAAGTCAATTTTTCAACCAATTAGAAATGTATTGCCAAAGCCAGTCTTTACCTTCTCTTTACTAATTCGACAGAGGTGTCATGCGAGCGACGACGTCAACTAGGGAATTAGGGTTAGGGATTTTGATTCCCCCGAATAGATTTGGGGATTCAATTTCTGGAGAGGCAACGGCGAGCGATAGCCGGTTGTGACAGTAGTTTTACTCTTCCTTGTTTGGAACTGAAGAGTTGAGATGGTTTGCAATTTCGAGGAGAATAAATAACAAATGGACCGAAAGTGGGCTGACTATGGATGGGGTTGGGGTGGGATGAATGGGCCCAACTTAGTTAAAAAAAAACTTTGAAATTGGGAGGGCCCAACCGGGTTCGAACCGGTGACCTCTTGATCTGCAGTCAAATGCTCTACCACTGAGCTATGGACCCCTTTGGTGCTAAAAGTTTTCAAATATATAATTTTACGTGAAATGAATATCAACTGAAATGACCAAAAGGGTTTGCAGTCCTCATCCTATGACACGTTGGAACTCATCCTTGTCCACATGGTCACCTGGAGGATTTGGGTGACGACAGAAATAATGAAACATAAAAAGACAAAACTGTTTTTTTCATGATTTTTTTCCTTTAAATTTTATTTTTCGCATCGTAAACTCAAAAAGGGAAGGTGTTGGTAAACCAATTTCAAACAATAAAATATTTGTTTGTTTGTTAAAATTAGTAGTGATGATGTGAAGTAAAATAATGCCACTCTATACAACCTAAGTCAAGCTCAAATTTTATTTGTTTTGGTCGGGCACACTCAATATCATTACTTTATAATTTCACAGGCAAAAATAAAGCGACCTGTATTATGTTTGACACCAAAAAAGTGTGACATTTATTATTATTTTGAAATGTCGCTTTATTTTGGTCACGTTCCACCTCTTTACATGGGTGAAGAAATCATAAATGAAGCACCTCTTTTGTGAGACATGCATACTAATTCCTCTAAAATGCTTGTGTGCATAATCTAGTGTATCAAATAGAATGTGTATATGAACTTAGTCAAGTTGACTAGAATGAATGTGCTCCCCATTCTGCACTCGAGTTCGAATTCCCTTCTCCATAGTTTATATATATAAAATAGAACGCATACATGCCTTTAAAAGATAAAAATTAAAATGCATGAGAGCCATATTCATCATTAACCAATGGAATTGATTAAAACATCAAATTGCATTTCCTTGAGAACCATATTTTATGAAGCACTCAATCAACAACCAATTCAATATGTGGCATTGTAAACACAAAGAAAATCCACTTAAAACCATTATTAAAAAATAAAAATAAAAACACCATTGCACTAAGATGATTTTGACACTATAAATAAATGAACTGTCTAAGAAAAATAATTTGGAGACAAAATGTTCGCGTCGGAGGAGTTTACAAGGCCAAAAGCCTAAAGACACAAAATAATTAGCCAGGCGAGGCAAAAACTAGAAGTAATTGTAGAAGTAAGAACAACACAACAAGTAGTTGGTTGAGTTGTTGGTTGGCCTCCAATTTGATCAGGCGGTTATTTCCAAGCCTCCTTCCTTCGTTTTCTCCGCCCCTTCTTCTCCTCTTATACTTTCTCTCCCTCACTCCCTCAATTTCCATCTCCTCCATTTCTTCTCTCTCAATATCCCAATTTTATCACTTCCCAAACAAAGACAGAGCCACTGAATCAAGGGGAGAGATGTCCTTCTCTGCCACCAATTTGGCCCAGCCCCTCCAACTCAACACCGCCACCCCCAGATCCAATGACAAGCCCTCCTTGTTGTTGCCCAAGACCTCATCTTTTCTCGGATCTACCCGCAACTTCCGACCCACTTCCCTATCTGCTAACCCCAGTCACTCGAATACCCACCGTCGATCCGCTGTCGTTGCTGTCTCCGAAGCTGTGAAGGAGAAGAAGCTCCATGCATCCACCAATCTGGTAATGTTTTAGTCCTGAAAGTTCATTGCTTGATTTAGTTTTCTGGGTAAGTTTTGTTTTTCTCATGCATGGTAAGCCAAGGGAAGGAGAAGAGAATTGGATTTCAAATTTTGTTTTTCTTGGGTTTGTAATTACTGGGTAGCTGAGATTTACGAGCAATTCCACTTAATCAAGCTTAATTTAAGTTTTTTGATCCAACAATTGAAAACCCAGAACAGATAAATTCCAAGCTTCCAACTTTCAGCTTTGTTTCTCGGTGGCTTTAATTCAGTTTGATTTGTGTCTTATTTTTCAAGTTCATGGAACATCAGTATATATATCTAATTAAATTTGAAGAGATTTAGAAGTACACAGCTGAGCTTTTTCTTTGTTTCCCAAAGATTTAGTTATCTCATGAAATGAAAGAGTGTCTAAGACTCCTTTTCAATCTTTGTGCATTTAGCTTATAACAAAAGAGGAAGGCTTGGAGCTGTATGAAGACATGGTATTGGGTAGGTCTTTTGAGGACATGTGTGCTCAGATGTATTATAGAGGCAAGATGTTTGGGTTTGTTCATCTTTACAATGGCCAAGAAGCTGTGTCAACTGGGTTTATCAAGCTTACAAAGAAGGAAGATTCTGTGGTGAGCACTTACCGTGATCACGTACACTCCTTGAGTAAGGGTGTCCCTGCTCGTGAGGTGATGAGTGAGCTCTTTGGAAAGGCCACTGGTTGTTGCCGAGGCCAAGGTGGTTCAATGCACATGTTTTCAAAAGAGTACAATGTGCTTGGTGGGTTTGCATTTATTGGTGAAGGGATACCAGTAGCAACAGGTGCAGCATTCTCCTCTAGATATAGGAGGGAAGTGCTGAAACAAGCAGACTGTGATCATGTGACATTGGCCTTTTTTGGAGATGGGACTGCTAATAATGGCCAGTTCTTTGAGTGTTTGAACATGGCAGCATTGTGGAAATTGCCAATTGTTTTTGTTGTGGAGAACAATTTGTGGGCTATTGGAATGTCACATTTGAGGGCTACTTCTGATCCAGAAATTTGGAAGAAGGGCCCTGCATTTGGTATGCCTGGTGTTCATGTGGATGGGATGGATGTTTTGAAGGTGAGGGAGGTGGCAAAGGAGGCGATTGGAAGGGCCAGGAGAGGAGAAGGGCCAACATTGGTGGAATGTGAAACATACAGGTTCAGAGGACATTCATTGGCTGATCCTGATGAGCTTCGTGACCCTGGTGAGTATTTGAATTATGTCTTTCTGCTTTTAGATGTGTCCTTGTTTTTGACTTTTTATTCAATTCTTGGAGAGATGTTAATGCTTCTGCTTCTATGCATTTTACGAATTAAAATTTGTCTATGCTTCCGTCACCTACTCCTTTTGGTTCTGTTTCTGCTCATAGTTTCTTCTGCGTTGAGTTTTAATATCGTGATTTTTTTGTTGTTCGTTGGATTGTGGACTTGAGCCACTATATGAACTATTAAGTGGATAGTTTCTTCTGTGTCAGATTTTTATCTTTTCAGTACTAATATCCTGATTTTTAATTTACTTGTGTTGGATTATGGAGAACTCCCCACTCTATTGGAGAAAATAATTATCTCATTTTGCAGCCAGCATGTTCACTTCTTAGTTTTCATATCATTTCATTCCTTTGAGTTGAAGTTGCTAAATATTAACCACCATGCTTGGTTCCATTTTGGCAGCTGAGAAGGCACACTATGCTGCCAGAGACCCCATCACAGCCTTAAAGAAATACATACTTGAGAACAATTTGGCCACTGAACAAGAGTTGAAGGCCATACATAAGAAGATTGATGAGTTGGTTGAGGATGCCGTTGAGTTCGCAGATGAGAGCCCACTTCCACCTCGCAGCCAGCTGCTCGAGAATGTGTTTGCCGATCCAAAGGGTTTTGGAATCGGCCCTGATGGCAGCTACAGATGTGAAGATCCTAAGTTCACTCAGGGCACTGCTCATGTCTAATCAATGTTGGACCTCTAGCAATCGACGTGTGCTAGCTCTCTGTTCCAAGATACATGCATGGTGTTAATTTTTAGTTACTGCTAGCAGTTACTGTGTCACGTAAGAAGATTGTATCAGCTTTATCTACTGTAAGCAGGAATATGTTTGTTAGTTGTTTCAGTTTTGGTCATTATACCGCTCATTTTAAAATTATCCTTGTTCTTTTGTATTGGCAAGCAAAACCCTGTTGGGATGTTGGCTCTTCGTTTCCAATTTTATTATATCTACACATGATTCTCAAAATTTTGCGTTCATCGGATCCAACATATTAAATTGATATTGCGGCAATTGTTCTTTGCTGGATGTTTTTTTGGGCCAACATGTAATTTGCCAAAAAGTTGGGAAATTTATGTCAAGTTTTAACTATAAAAGTAGTTTATGTCAAAATTAAACGTGATTAACAAAATTGACACAGCTTAATCTGGCGATAGTCCTATTTATATATCAAGTGTAGTATGCGACTCTCTTTACAAACTCTGAACTTCAAAAATTTACAAAGCTGGCAATGGAAGCATGAATGGTAAAAATTCATAATCGAAGTACTCTTCTACACTGTATGAGTTCCAAAATAAAATGTACATGTTGAGGGTTAAATAGTACTGAAAAATCTGGTACAAAAATTGTAAGAAATGGTAAAAATAAGAATGAAGATATGATATTTAAGGAGAAACAACAAAAGAATGTGCGGGTAAGTGTCAATTCAGCCGGGGATTACAACTTAAGTGCGGAAATTGCTTCAGGTTTAAAATCAACTCTCAGACTCAATACTCGCCTGACCTCGGCTGGCGTCAGTCTCCAGGTCATAGGTCCTGAGTTCTCTCCCCAGAAATCTAAAATCTCCGAGACCTTTTCTAAGTTGAGGATTGTCGCCATTTGAGTGAGACGAGCAAACTTGTCTCTAACAGTCCTTTGAGTCATACTAGAGAAGTGGCTTACCAATGCTCTAGCATCTCTGTCCAGCTGAAGGCCTCCAAGTTGACTGAATCTCTTCTGTATCATAGTTGCTTCAAGCCTCTTCACAATGAAGTCAAGTACCAAATGTACAAATGAGTCATAATTGTTGGCAGTCATTAGTGGCTGGAGCCACGCTACATTCGTCTCAACAGCATGGAGAAGCCTTTGGACCCAAGGGTCATTAACCTCATTGTCGGCATATTGAGCCTCTGACAGCTCATAGCTAATGGTCCCCACATGATCTAGCACCGGACGGAGGCGGGGTGCCACCGTTGCCACAAGTTGTTCCAGGCCAGCATTCAAAGCTTGCTTGAATGTGTTGCTCATATCCCCTAATTCAGACAGACAGGACTTAACTTTTTCTCTATCAACTGGTGCAGGAAATACCTGATAAACATGATATCATTTTTGTTAATACCTGATAATGGAATTACTTTTTATAAAGAAGCAAATAATATGTAGGGAAAAAAACATTACAATCCAACAAAAAGAATAATCACATCAGATGATAACATCTAACACGAATCCAAGAGACCAAGATGGATATAAAAGAAGCCCAAACATTAATAGCCAGTGCATTTGCTAGTGTATACAACATCATATTAAACCAACCACCAAGGCAGATGTGACCTACCAAGGACAATAAAATACTTAGAGTTTACAGCCAAGAAGGTGACACAAGCGTGATATCTTGAAACTAAAACTTTTTACTATACATGTCGTCGAAGCCATTTTATGATTCTGGACAACCAAAACGTAGCTCGTAATGACTATTTCCATATCTACTGAATTTAATAACCAATAGGCAACAAGTAACAAATGGGGGCTTGGAGAAATGCTAATCTGTCTTACTGAGTTACAATGCTCTCTTGACTCTTCATTCACTCGAATAAAAAAAAAAAAAAAAACTGACTTTAAGAAAGTAAAGGCAACAGCTACATCAACAGATCATGCAGAATAAATAAAATACAACAGCGGCATGATCCATCAACTTAGTGGACAATAGATAAGAAAACCTTAACTATAAAGTTCCACCATATAAAGAAGCCTGTGACGGCAGCATCCAAAATGAAATTTACCAAAGCAATCTTAAAAAAAAAAAGTGTACTAAGCAGCACTGTCAAGTGATCATACAAACCACATATCTTTCTTCAAAATTAAGTCTGCACCACATCAAGCTTCGCATCCTATTAGTATTAGGGATAAATGTTCTGTTCTCACTGTAAAGTGTAATGGTGAGTAGGTTCTAATCATGTTAGCAAAGATTGACAAAGCAATTGGAAAACGAATCTCACACTATAGGAAATCCGATCACTAGAGGGGCACAAACTTAAGTTAAATGGAGGATTGTATAAAACTAATTATGCAAGGTTATGGGGATTTGGGGCTTCCGACCTAATGCAAAGCAAGTTAAAATGTAAGCCAAAGCCTTGCCTAAACAGTGTAGTTGTTATTCATGTCACAAATCTTGAAAAGTAAAGCACAGAGTAAACTACAGCATTTCAATTACCTCTAAGCATTGCTCTTCAATCTCGTGTTTCAATTTGAGGACATACTCACTACTGACATCCAAATTATTCAAAACAGTGGCAATCTCCGTCCCAGTCTTTTGCACACCAACACCACCCAAAAACAGCTTTGCACCAAGATTGGGCTCTCTCATCTTCTGTTGCAAAGCCTCATGGTACTCATTGCTCAACAAGCTACTCGCGCCACTCAACACAGCAATCACAGAGCTGATATTCAAAGTGGATATTGCCCTCCGTAAGCAACTCTGCAATACATAGAAAACATCGTCGACCATCGAAGTCGTGAGACTGTCAGGCACATGCTCATCAATTCTTATAGCCTTCCTCACATTCTCCACCATAAAGAAACCCTCTAATATGACATAAAACCCAGTAATTTCCTGAACCACCTTGCTAAAACTTCCACTCCTAAAAGCCTTAGTGGCTCTTGGTCCTAAATCCGGGTCAACATTCGTAAATCCCTTGATCTTAGACACCATGAACTCAGTATAATCCTCACCCAATTGCATCAAAGACAGTATCTCTTCCAAGAAGAGCTCAACCTCTCTAGGATCAGGCCCCTCAGACCCAACACCAACACCACCAACATTAAGCAAATTCTTGTTCTGGGCATTAATCTCAGAGCTCAACTTTGGCAATCTCCTATACTCCATGTACTTCTTCAAAATCAAACTACCCCTCGTATCACACTCCTCTTGAAGTTCACAAATGGCGTAAACAACCCCATCTTCCCCACAAAGCCCTCTCAGAATCTCATCATTATCTTCAACAGCTAAAACATTGTCCTTGAACAAATTGGTCAAACACCCAACAAAATTGACCGTCTGGATTGGATTGTTCTGCTCCATAAGCTCCACCAAGTGCTCGAATTCAAGCCTGGATCTCATCCCAATCACCTTCCTCAAATACCCCACGTAAACCTGCAAGCCCTCCGTCTCCAAACCCAGCGGAGTGTAAAGCCTGATAAATCTCAACACGGTAGGATGCTCCCTCTGGTTCACGGCCTCAGAGAGCTTCTTCCTGACTATCGATTCGAGCTGCCGCTTCGACTCCATAAGCTGCTCTCGCTGCTCGGAGCCCGAGTCCCTGTACTCCGAGTCAATCTGAATAAACCGCTGCACGTACTTGGCGGCAGACTCGTAGTCCTGGGTGTCGAGGGCTTGCTTGACGCCGTCGATGCAGTTTCCGAGCTCGACGATGGCGTCCAGGCGGAGGAGCGTGGACTTGACGCGCGATTGGGCGAGGTCGAGCTCGCGGACCTTGGCGCTGACGTGGTCGGCGAGGTCGCACGTGGAGGTGACGTTGGCGAGCACGTGATCGGAGTCAGCTTTGACGATGTCGAGGACCGTTGCGGACCTGTGGAGGCTCAGGAGCTGCTTGTCGAGGTCGGTGCGCTGGGAGAGGAGGTTGTCGAGGTCCAGATCTAAGGATCGCTGGTAGGCTATGCACTCGTGGAGGAGGCGAGTCATTGCCCCCACGTCCGTCAGGGCTCGCACGTGCGAGAGCGCCTCTTGGGTCCCGAATTTTATCGACGGTTGATCCGGCTCCATTGCCTCTCTCTCTTTCTCGCGGGTTTGAAGATCTGCGCGCGCGGGTGGTTCAGTTGGACTGTCTGAGGTGGAGAAGAGGAGGAGAAGCACAAAAATACCAAATGAAATTACAAATATGTCCCTGTAATTTCGCTCCAACTTTACCACGATTCTTATTTTAATCTTTGATCAATTTTAGATTTTTCTTAAGGATTAATTAAGGACTTCTAGTCCTCGTCGTCCACTTAACATAAAATTCTTACGAAGTGTCATGACTATGCGCTCAAGTTCGACTTCTTGTGAATTTTCCCTTCCTCCATTGATAAAAATGCAAAAAAATAAATAAGTAATTGTAAATCTTACAATTAGAGTGGGTGTTAGTTTAATTTTCCGAACCTTCGAGAGTTTTGTAAAATTGCGAAAAAACATCACGGAGTATTAGTATAAATAACTCAAATTCGGGACAATCAATCAAAAGACTACGAACAAATGAGTTTCATAATTATGCGTATGTTGACACCTATCAAAGGACTAAAAATCAATATTTAATTTTACACAAGGGTTGAATAGAAATTTAATCTTATACAAGGACTAAAATTGAAATTATTATATGTACGCAAATTTGGAATATCTAGCATTATTGTACATGCATAAAATTCACATTATTGAATTAAATACAAATATTGAATGATGAATATGATACGAAGTTTTCAATACTACTTAAGGAAACTTTTGAACTAGTGCATCGAGAGTTTTGAGCATCTTTTAAGCCTATTGTTGTAATATATATAGGTGATACCAAATCGAACATTGAATCCCAAACTCCATTCAAAGTTGTCTAACAAAGTCCACGGAAAGAATCCTTTCACTTTGACACCATTGCTAAAAAAAGAAGAAGAGGAAATTATATATATTAATGTCAATAATATGAATCAATAACTCAAAATCTAAAGCTAAACCATATACATATATATATTTAAATATTATAAATGAATTTGTTAATACACTTACTCAACAGAACTTTGAACATAATAAAGGTGGCGATTGTAGTAGTCAATTCTATGCGTATCATTAAGGGCTTCAGCAAGTGATAATTTTGAATCATTGAACTCATCCACACCTACAATATAATATATCATTATGTAGTTTTAAATTTAGACTTTGTACCACTTGTGTGTGTTTCACACCAAATATGTGAAACATTGATCATGCAATTACTTAAGGCTAGAATTTTTTATTACCATTTTAAGTAATGTAAATGATTGGATTGTGATACTTTTTCTTTGTGTAGAGTAAAAGATCTTGAATTCCTCGTGGATAAACATTTAACCTTTCCAAAGCACCCTGCACCAAACTTTGAAGATTTTTAGATTTTTAGGAGTCACACTTGTAAATGCAAAACAATTAATGGTCGAAATCATAAAGCTTAAGCTAGTAATTTGATGTGTACCTTTGAACTGATGGGGACTCCATCACGCTTAGCTGTCACAACACATATGAATATCATAATTTAATTGGTTTATAAACTTAAATTGCTTGAATTAAAATTTGAATTTGTACTCACATGAAAGATTAACGCCGGCATCTGTTGTGTAGCTTGCGTATATAGAGTTATTTTGAGGTGCATCGCTTGCATAGTAACCAGCATAGTAATTTAGTCCAAGAAAATCAAATGAACCAATAAGCAACTTGGCTTGTTCTTTCGTGAATTTTGGTAATAGGTTTCCGACAAGAGATCGCATGCTTTGCGGATAGTCACCACTTGTCAATGGCTCAGCCAACCTACAAGAATGTAAAAATTTCAAGCATTAACTTGACATTATATTATGTATTGCTCGATAGTAAGTAGTAAATATTATATTCATAAGCAAATTCGAAATACACTTTCCATCCGAACATAAAATCCAAAGCTCGTAATGCAGCATTTTTATTTTCTTTTTCTTCTGATAAGGGCTCAAACCAATCTGACACTAGTGTTATCCCTATCACTCCATTTTGAGACGGCTGCACAAGAACATTTAGTTTGTTTGTTTTAGAGTCACAAAAAGGTAAAGTAGTTGCTCTCTTGTTGCAACAAACTAATTAATTGTACTTGGTATCTATTTTTCTACAATTTTATGGTAGCTGCATGAGCAAGGAGCCAGTGGTATGTTACCAAATAAGGTTCAGTTGATGAATCTCCGCCAGTGCAGTTTAGCATCGTCCCGACGCAAGGGACCCAGTTGCATAACCATAGTTACTGAAGGTATACGGCTCATTCAGTGTGCTCCAATGCTTTACTCGATCACCAAATTCCTTATAACAAAGTTCTGCGTAATCTTGAAAATGATTGCTGTATATACACATTTCAGAATGTAAATATCATAATTGTATTTATTAATTAAAGTATCAATACAATTCAGAGGACTAATTTCTTCACTTACACAATATAAGGGCTTAAGAAACCACCATATTCGTCTTCCAAAGTTTGGAGAAAATTCCAATGGAAGAGAGTCACAAATGGCGTTATACCTATAAATAGCATCATCAGTAAAAGTGAGTTATAAGTTTGATAAAATGAGTTTTTTTATGAGTGCATGTAAATCTTATTGTATAAATTATTGATCATGTAAGGTGGGATGACTCACCATTGCGTAAGAGCTCATTGATGAGATTGTTGTAATATTTGATTCCTTCCTTGTTTACTCCTCCACTTAATTTTCCATCTAATAATTAAAACAAAACAAAAAAATGAAGAAATAAGTGCACCGATAAAATTTAAACTGAACCTTTAAAAAGCTGAACTTCGACTTCTATTTAATTTATCCTTGAAAACATATTTATTTTTGCTTCAGTTATTTCAATTAAGTATGAAACAAATTTTTTGTTATTCAGTAGACAACCTGGACACATTACTTAAGCGAAAACCATGAAGGCAGAAATATTGACGATTGGTCACAAATGAACTTACTTGGTAACAATCTTGACCATGAGATAGAGAATTGATAAGCATCCCACCCCATATTCTTCATAATCCCCACATCTTCCTACAGTGCATAACAAAAAAGAAATCAGATAAAAATTATCGGGAGCTTATCTTCAATGTGATGAGTTTTCTTCATGCTTCAAAATTTAATGTGTGCACATTGGGTCATGAACCTTATATCGGTGATATTGATCAACAGTGATATCTCCATTGCTGCTATCGTTAATCTTTTCTGCAATTAATCATAGAAAATTTATTTATTTAGAGCATAAGATTAAAAGTAGCATGATTTTGTTATTTTAACTAATTGATGATTTGATTGGACAAACCTGGATATTTGTGGGTGAAGGTATCCCAAATGCTTGGTCCTCTACCACCTTCTTTTGCAGCACCTTCATACTGAATTACACAAGAGACACAATGAAGAAGACGTCAATATTCTTGCATGGATCAATGGTTGGTCTGAATTTGAAAGAAAACCCTAATCAAAACTCAAATTAAAGCCCAGAAAAGGACTTACTTGGTAAGATCCAGAATCTGCACCAAATACGAACCCTTCTGGAAAACTGCTCCTATTGAGAGAAGCAGTGTCAAAATGTGTGGGTGGAGCTCTAAACCCTAAACCCTAAACCCGAAACTCAACTGCTATATTCAAACACGCAATATAAGTGCATATATGCGAGTAGCCGCATTGTGGAGTCTCCTACTAGCCGTTTGGGTCAAACTGTGAAAAGAAATTTGACACAGAATAGTTTTCTTCACAATAATATGTGATTATCTTTTCTTCACAATATAATATTTGGTGCATTTGTGTGAGTAGCCGCTAAGTCTGATTGAGTCTCCTAATAGCCATTTGGGTCAAACTGTGAAAAGAAATTTGACATAGAATTGTTCTCTTTACAATGTAAATTTGTAGATTGTTTAAATTCTTGGGCATAATATATGATTATCTTTTGTGTTTGACGAACTAGGAAGCGTATAACAGAATTTTAACTTTTATTTCTTTTAAACATCAGAGAAACGTGTCCAATTGGTGGGGTTTTCACAAACGATCTTGAGGTTAGTTGGAACTTGAGCAATGGTTGGGAGACCATTTCGGTCAAAAACCGTAAAAAAAAATATATATAAATAAAGAAAATCCATTTATGGGTAGATGATAGATAATTTGTAGGGTCCACTCCCCAATTTATTTGAAGAATGGTGGGGACCAAAAGTTATTCCCTTATAGTACTTAAAAGAAAAATAGAGATGTCAACGGGGTCTAATCTAGTGGAAAAATGCATTAACTTGCAAACCAGAGGTCTCAAGTTCGAATCCTACAACATCATAGTTGTGTGTGCATGAGAAATTCCCCTCCCTTGTAGTTTAGACTATCGCCTTTAAAAAAAAAAAAAAAAAAAAAAAAAAAAAAAAAAAAAAATGAAAGACATTATAACCGTTGAAAGAAAAAATAACGTAATTGCCAAATTCATCCTTTACTTATTTATGGTCAAAGTAATGACATTGCCTTCCACAATTCCACATACAATTCTCATAGAAATTTTCTTTATGTTTACCCTAAAGATAAACATGCAGAAATGACTTTTTGTTGCCCTTCTTTCCTTTGGTTTTAATGGTATTTTTCTTCCCATAATAATGGTCCGTCAAATTCTTTTCAAAATTTGACCACACTATTCGTGTTTGACTAAATCTGAATTTGCAGCTACTCACCCTATTCGTGTTTGACTATTCATCCAAATATGAAACTTTCCATTTGTACCATGACATTCTACAGAGTTGCGCCCTCAACACCCTTCTAATGGCATGCACAACCAGGGTCAACTTATACTTATCAAGATTACTAACAAAAAACATCTCAAGTTATTGCAATGCAATTAGGGTCTTTTCTCTAATCCTTTGAAATATTATATGAGATTTCCTTTCATGTCCTAATTTAAGGTACATCAATTATCTTTTGAAAACGTCAAAAGAGTAGCAATAGGAAAAGGCTTGAAGACAAGGGTGTTAACTTTTATGGGAAGAAAAATGGCATTAAAACCAGTGAAAGAAAAGGGGTTTTAAACAAAAAAACAAAACAAAACAAAAAAGTCATCACTGCATGTTTATCTTATTGGACTCTAAATATGCAAGGGATGAGTTTTCCACCTACGCTAGTTACAGACTTGTTCAAGCACATCTGAAAATTATTATCACTTCTTCACGTTCTTCTTTCCTTTAAAATTAAAACTTACCTTTCGAAATCATTTAAATTTTTTGTTTTGTTTGTAATCTCCTAGAATTTTGAGTTTTTATAAAAAATAGCCAAAATTTACCCCTCACTTTCAAAAATATTAGTTTTTATAAAATCTTTCAAATATAGGTCTAATATCATTTGCGACACTCTTCCATTGGGATCTTCCCCAAACGTTAGAAGGTAAATTTAGTGGACATGTATAACATACGATATTTAGCTCCTTATATTTCACATGATTCAAGGAAAACATCTTTATCACATATTAAAGAACAAAAACTGATTATTGCCGTGCGGCTATACCCGTTTAAAAAAATAATATATATATTTTTATTCAATAATATGTGAGAATTATGTGTATAATACGTGAATTTTGTGTGTCTTATAATTAGAGAACATAGCATAGCTCACCACATTTAACTCTTGAGATTCGTGTTCGTGCAGCAAGTAAATTACATTGATTTGAGGGAGAAATTATAGAGTGATACTGTATCACCACATCAGCTGATGATACTCCCACTCAAAATCTGCCACATGTATTTTTTTAAACAAAATTAAAATATATTTTACAACTTTGGACTTTGGCTTACAACTTTACCCTTCAACTTTCAATGACCCCACACCCCCCCTACGCCCTTGCTATCGACGCCACACAACCCTCTTCCCTTCCCCCACTCAGCCACCCAACCCGGCCTTCCCTCCCCCTCCTATATTCCCACCCCCTCTTTCTCTCCCTCTCATTTTTGGTGAAAAGTTAAACCTATTAATAAAAAAGCCAAAAATCTTAAAAATATGTGCAAACCCATTAAACATGAAACCATAAATCTTTATAATAATAAAAAAGTAAATTTAGGTTTTAGCCCAAAAAAAATTTTCACTTTTGGAAAAAAGCCAAAACTTTTTCAAAAAAGACAGAAAAACCTCTCAACTTTCAAATCAAAGACATGCAAATGTAAAGGATTCCTTAGGAAATCCAAAAATAAATAAGGGCAATTTTGTCCATTTTGGCTTCTTTTACAAAATTTCTTTCTCCTTTGTGTTTTTCCAAAGTCTCTCAAAAAAAAACCACTAGTGAAAGAAGGGAAGATTGACGTTATGGGCAACCAAGAATTAATTGTGTTATAGAGCAGGTCATTGGGGCGGGGCCTGATGAAGGAAATCCGCCAAAAATCTCCCCCTTTTACATCAGATTCTTCTTCTTCCTCACCATCTTCATTATCAGCTTTCATTCAAGGTCTTTTTAAAAGAGTTAGAAGTGAAATTTTCTGAGATTACCCATCTTCTTTAGCTTCAAGGGTGTCTTCAGAGATAAAATGGTAAGAGTTTGACCGGATTTTGTTTATGGGTTTTGAGTCCTTTGAAAATAGAAATTCTTTAGATTCATTAACTATGAAGATGGTGAAGGCTGAGGTAGGTGGCGAGGGAGAAGGGAAGACGCGTGGTGTTGCAAATAGCAGGCATAGCGTAGGGAAGAAGACGGTGGACAGGGAAGACGGTGGGGAGGGGTTTGGGGGGTTTGGGTGATTAAAGTTGAAGGGTAAAGTTGGTAGCCAAAGTCCAGAAGTAAAATATATTTTAATTTTGTTTAAAAAAATACATGTGGCAGATTTTGAGTGGGAGTATCACCAGCCAGCTGACGTGATGATACAGTATCACTCTATAATTTCTCGATTTGAAGAATGCTTTGAAATATTATATGAGATATATGAGATTTCCTTTTATGTCCTAATTCAAGGTACATCATCTTTTGAAAACGTCAAAAGAGTAGCAAAAAGAAAAAACGGCTTGAATTTTATTTTATTTTATTTAAAAAAGTCATCACTGCATGTTTATCTTATTGGACTCTAAATATACAAATGATGAGTTTTCCACGTACGCTAGCTATAGACTTGTTCAGGCACATCAGAAAATTATTATCACTTCTTCACGTTCTTCTTTTCTCTAAAATTGAAACTGGGCCTATTTGGTACTCAACTTGAGTTCAACTTTTTAAATTCAAAAATAGAATTTAAGTCCAAAACAAAGAGAACCCGTTTGGTAGCCCCATTTTTAAAAACTCAAATTAAAAAACAACTAAAAAGACACCCAAATTATTAAAAATAAAAAATATATGTTTTTTCAGTTTTTTTTTCTAACAACCCACAAGTTCTCAAATTTTTAAGAATTGAAAATAGTTTTCAAGTTGCATACCAAACAAGTTTTTGAATCATAAAAATTGATTTAAGAACTCCTTATTTTTAATAAAAATCAAAGTTTTTGAGTTCCCTATTTTAATAGGATACCAAACGCCCCCTTACCTTCCAAAATTATTTTTAAAATATTTTTTGTAATCTCCTAGAATTTTATATGGAATCAGTGCTATCATTAATTTTGACATGCATCTACATGTAGAATGAATTTATTTTGTTAAGGCAAAAAGTTATTTTGGTCCTTATTGTTTTCCACTTTTACCACTAAGGTCCATGTAGTTTCAATTCTAAGCAATGCAAGGACAATTCGTAATTTATTGTCAAATTACTCTAATATGGTAGCGTTCAATAGCCTCTCCGGGGACCAAGAGAAGATGGCTTCAGTGGGGGAGGGAAGGGCATTTCTCTCTCTCTCTCTCTCTCTCTCTCTCTCTCTCTCTCTCCTCTCTCTCTCTCTCTCTCTCTCTCTCTCTCTCTCTCTCTCTCTCTCTCTAGCTAGGGAATGGTTGTGGAGGGGATACAAGATTGGATCGAAATGCCTCTCTTTGTTTCTCTTTGCAATTCTTCTTCTCATATTGTTCTCTTTTTCTCTTTTCATATTCTATCTCAATTTCACATCTTACCATTATGTACTGAAACATTTGAAATTCCCTTTCTTATATTTTGGATGCCTAGATTTCTGCGTAATTCAATATAAAATCAAACATCATGACTCGAATCACTTAAGATATTTTTGTCTTCATTAAGATCAATACTCTGAAACACTATGGTCTGCTGCTTGCTTTCGCATCGTCACTCTAGGCTTCTGGTTTTTTATTATTATTTATTGCTCCTTCGTCTTTTAGACTTGTGCTTTTGTAACTCGTATTCGTTCCTCGCCCTGGTTCAATGATGATATTACCAGATTGACAAAAAAACAAAAACAAAAAAAAGGAAAAAAGGCAACCTCTATGATGATCTCTAACCCATCTAAGCACCCCCTAAAGAAAAATACAAAGAGAATAAAAACTTCTCTATCTAAAGCTTACAACAATATCCTCCTCTCTCTCGTCACAGACTCAATTCTTGATTATCATCCTTTTTTTTCTTTTTCTTTTTTTCAACTTTTCATAATTGTGTTCATTTATTTATTTGATCATAACTAAATAATGATATAATTTCCAATTTGATTGATTATTTTTTGGTTAGGATGATGTTTTATGAGATTCTAACAAGTAGACAATTGGGGTCATTGAAGTTGAGCCTCAAGTTTGATTAGAGATTAGTTTGCCATACGCGATCGTGACTTGAGTCGTACTGTAATCTCTAAACAGTGGGCCACTAAATTTCAAAATTTTTGTCATTGTGGTATAATGGTCAAAGTACAATATAATTTAAACGAATAGGTGAAAATTCAGGGAGTTATTTATCCTAATATCTCTCTGAGGTTTTTTATGTTTTCACAAAACTCCTTGAGGTCCTAGAAATTACACAAACACCCCATCATGTCTCAAATTGGTTTCACATAACTCCAAAAATAAAAATAAAAACCTAAAACCAGATATAACAATACTAATACTTTTGCATAGACTAAAATACCCTTCATGGTATTAAAATACTGTTTGGATAGAATTGTACTGTAATCTCTACCCATTATTATATTACAAATAAAATAGTAAAAAGAAAAAAGGGTTTTTCGCAGCAATGGTCACTCAACTATACCCGTAGTTGCATTTGGGTCACTGAACTCAATTATTGGTTGCAGGGGTCACTCAATTGGCTGTTGTGTTGTACCATTAGTCCTTCCGTCAAACTTTGTTAAATTTTCTGTCAAAAGTGAGAGTAAATTCAGAAATTCATCAATAACCCTCCCTTTCATCCACAACCCTCCATTATCGCAACCCAATCCTTGCTTCTCCTTCCTTGTACCAAAATCTGAGCAGAAAAAGGAAAATCTAGCTCCAATTCGTCTTCGGAGCTGTTGTTGCAGTTTTCGTTAAAATTGTTGCAGCGGTTCCGGCTGCATCACGCCATAGCCAATTGCTTCTCGTTGCTCTACTACATGAAACTCTGGACCATCTTTGCCAAGCATAGCGAGCTCGGCTCGAACTCGCCCAACCCACCGCCGCCGCCGAAGCAGTCCTCGTTGAAATGGGGCTCCTCGATGCCAATTCCGCTGCGGCGGAGCTTCTCAATACGTTTGTGAATGGACGCTTGAGCCAAGACTTAGCCACCGGCTTGACCGCCTCGAACCTGGTTGCGTCTTCACGACTCAAGCGATTTTTGTGCCTTCCAAACCGAAGGCAAGGAGATAAATTGTATTTCCACTGCAACTCCAAATGCTCACTTCCTTGCGCTTCTTCATAGTGACCAAAACCCAATAAGAAAGTAAAAGGAAAAATGCATAAAATATATAAGATAAAGAAACCAAGGTCATTTGTTGTGAACGGGAACGGCCATAGCTGAAGAAGCAAGGAAAAGCACAAAACTTTTCACAGCTCAATATCCCAGCTCATTTCACCTGGAATCTCAAACTGTAAGAATAAATTTCTCTTTTTCTTTTACTTTCTTTATGGGTTCTCTGCAATTTAATCTTTCTCAAATATTACTTTGTCAATCGCAATAGATGCAACATAGATGCAACATACCCATTTCTGCCTAGATTTTGGTACAAGGGAGGAGAAGTAACGATTGGGTTGTGACAATGGAGGCTTGTGGATGAAGGGGAGGGTTATTGATGAATTTCTGAATTTACCCTCACTTTTGACAGAAAATTTAACAGAGTTTGACGGAAGGACTAATGGTGAAACACAACAACCAATTGAGTGACCTGTGCAACTAATAATTGAGTTCAGTGACCCAAATGCAATTACGGGTATAGTTGAGGGACCATCGCTGCGAAAAACCCAAGAAAAAAAAACAACCCATCAAACATGCATTGTCCGCTTGCCCTAAGGGAAAAAAAGATGCTTTCCTTCATCCTCTCCATCTCTTCCATGCCTTCTCCATATGCCAAATTCGGAATTAATATGTTTCCAATCACACCCAAAAAAAAGAAAAAAAAGAAAAAGAAAAAAGGAAAGTCAATCCTAACTCAAACCAAAAAATCAAACTAGAGCAACTTCTTCACAATGGCTGAGTACCAGCTTCTTCGTTTGCTACATGGGTTTTGCTCCCAACGTCTTGACTTGGTGCATGGGCTTGACGTCCTATTTCTTGGCTTGTTGGATTAACTCCTCCCAACTTAAATCCTAACTCTACAAAGCAGAAAGATCAAGGTGCAATGAGATAGTAGGATATGAGAATTCTCTTTTCAAAGCAACAACGGATTTTCGATGATGGAGCAGAGATGCAACATCCCCGACCCAATTTAATCATTTTTATTCAATTTATCTATTTGTGAAATTAAAATTTTGCCCTTGGATGGTAGGGGCACTTTAATAACTTTTTGTTTTCGAAGGATTTTGGGTAAATGAGTGACACCATTGCATGGAGCTCGTCCATACGAGTTCGTAGATAGGCGGCATGCTCAATTCTGAGTTGTAATGACCGCATAAAGGTCTAGAAACGAAAAGGGCAAAAAAGGATTTTTGAAATTTGTTACTTTAGCAAACACTATCGCTACAGTGCTGTTGCTACAATAACTGGGTCAATTCTCTTCATCTTCTCCTTCCCCCCCGCGACTTCTTCCTCTCCTCCTTCTACCATTCGCAACAGTCACTGTAGCAGTAGTGATTATTCGACTTCCAGGCCACTAATCGAAGCCGCCGTGCACAGGTTGGCGGCGCCACCTTCCCGAAAAATGTTCCTCTTGTCCTCCTCTACAAAGCCCACCCAAAACCAAATTTGATTTGTTGTCGGTGAGCTCGATTCGAAGCAGAGACAAGGGTTAGGTTTTTCCAGCGGTGTTCTTGCATTTTCAGGCTATTCCGACGGCCAATTCCGTCGTGCGAGGTATGGAAATTCATCCCCTCATCATGCTCTATCTGTTTATGTAGGTATTGTAGATCGATTTTGAGGTTTTGCAGATAGTTCAAAATACCCATTTTTGGCCGACGGTTTCAGCTTCGTTCCGGCTAGTTCCGGTTAGTTTTTGGCCTTGGTCCAAGAACAAAAGTTTATTTCCTAGGTAGTATGATTCTAATGGTATAGGTATTGCCTGGTGATTTGGATGGAATTTTAATCTTATACAGGGACTAAAATTGAAATTATTGAATGTGCACAAATTTGGAATTCAAATTTTGTATGTACATAAATTTGGAATCCCTAGTATTATTGTACATACATAAAATTCACATTATTGAATTAAATGACGAATATGATATGAAGTTTTCAATACTTCTTAAGGAAACTTTTGAACCAATGCGCCGAGAGTTTTGGGTACCTCTTAAGCATATCGTTGTAATCTACATAAGTGATACCAAATCGAATAGTGAATCCTGAACTCCATTCGAAGTCGTCTAGCAACGTCCACGGAAAGAATCCCTTCACTTTGACACCATTCCTAAAAATAAATTAAAGGAAAGTAAATATTTAATGTCAATAATATGAATCAATAACTCAAAATCTAAAGCTATACCATATACATATATATTTAAATATTATAAATAATTTTTTTAATACACTTACTCAATAGAACTTTGAACATAATAAAGGTGGCGATTGTAGTAGTCAATTCTATTGGTATCATTAAGGGCTTCGGCAAGTGATAATTTCGGATCATTGTACTCATCCACACCTACAATATAATTATTATGTAGTCACAAATTTAGACTTTGTACCACTTGTGCGTGTTTTACACAAATATGAAACATTGATCATGCAATTACTTAAGGCTAGAAAAAGTTACCATTTTCGGTAATGTAAATAATTGGATTGTGATATTTTTTCTTTATGTAGAGTAAAAGATGTCGAATTCCTCGTGGATAAACATTTAACCATGATGAAGCAGCCTGCACCAAAATTTGAAGATCTTTAGATTTTTAGGAGTCACATTTGTAAGTGCAAATCGATTAATGGTCGAAATCGGAAAGGCTTAATGTAGTAATTTGATGTGTACCTTTGGACCGATGAGGACCCCATTACGCTCAGCTGCCACAATACATATGAATATCAGAATCTAATTAGCCTATAAACTTAAATTGCTTGAATTAAATTATGAATTTGTACTCACATGACAGATTAACGCCTGCATCTGTTGTGCAGCTTGGGAATGCCGAGTTATTTTGAGGTGCATCACTTGCATAGTAACCCGTATAGTAATTTAGTCCAAGAAAATCAAATGAACCAATTAGCAACTTGGCTTGTTCTTTCGTGAATTTTGGTAATCGGCTTCCGACACGAGATCGCATGCTTTGCGGATAGTCACCACTTGTCAATGGATCAGCAAACCTACAAGAATGTAAAAATGTCAAGGATTAACTTGACATTATATTATGTATTGCTTGCTAGTAAGTAGTAAATATTATATTCATAAGCAAATTCAAAATACACTTGCCATCCGAACATAAAATCCAAAGCTCGTAATGCAGCAATTTTATTTTCTTTTGCTTCCGATAGGGGCTCAAACCAATCTGAATTCAGATCTATCCCTATCACTCCATTTTGAGATGCCTGCACAATAAAATTTAGTTTGTTTGTTTTAGAGTCACAAAATGGTAAAGTAGTCGCTCTCTTGTTGCAACAAACTAATTAATTGTACCTGGTATCTATTTTTGTACAATTTTACGGCAGTTGCATGAGCAAGGAGCAGGTGGTGTGTTACCAAATATGGTTCAGTCGATGAATCTCCGCCGGTGCAGTTTAACTGCTGCCAAATGGAGCATCGTCCCGGCGCAAGGGACCCAGTTGCATAACCATAGTAAGTGAACGTATACGGCTCATTCAGTGTGCTCCAATACTTTACTCGATCACCAAATTCCTTATAACAAAGTTCTACATAATCTTGAAAATGATTGCTGTATATACACATTTCGGAATGTAAATGTCATAATTGTATTTATTAATTAAATTATCAATACGATTCAAAGGACTAATTTCTTCACTTACACAATATGAGGGCTTAAGAAACCACCATATTCATCTTCTAAAGTTTGTGGAAGATCCCAATGGAAGAGTGTCACAAATGGCGTTAAACCTATAAATAGCATCATCAATAAAAGTGAGTTATAAGATTGACAAAATGACTTATTTATTTATTTTTATTTTTTAATGAGTGCATGTAACTCCTATTGTATAAGTTATTGATCATGTAAGGTGGGATGACTCACCATTGCGTAAGAGCTCATTGATGAGATTGTTGTAATATTTGATTCCTTCCTTGTTCACTCCTCCACTTAACTTTCCATCTAACAATTAAAACAAAACCAGAAAATAAAGAAATAAGTGCACCGATAACATTTAAGCTGAACTTTAAAACCATGAAGGCAGAAATATTATTAGGTAGACAACTTGGACACATTAGTTAAGCGAAAACCATGAAGGCAGAAATATTGACGACTGGTCACAAATGAACTTACTTGGTAACAATCTTGACCATGAGATAGAGAATCGATAAGCATCCCACCCCATATTCTTCATAATCCCCACATCTTCCTACAGTGCATATCAAAAAAGAAATCGGATAAAAATTATCGGGAGTTTATCTTCAATGTGATGAGTTTTCTTCGTGCTTCAAAATTTAATGTGTGCACATTGGGTCATGAACCTTATAGCGGTGATATTGATCAATAGCGATATCTCCATTGCTTCTATCGCTAATCTTTTCTGAAATTAATCATAGAAAATTTATTTATTTAGAGCATAAGAGAAAAAGTAGCACGATTTTGTTATTTTAACTAACTGATGATTTGATTGGACAAACCTGGATATTTGTGGGTGAAGGTATCCCAAATGCTTGGTCCTCTACCACCTTCTTTTGCAGCACCTTCATACTGAAATACACAAGAGACACAATGAAGAAGATGTCAATATTCTTGCATGGATCGATGCTTGGTCTGAATTTGAAAGAAAACCCTAATCAGAACTCAAATTAAAGCCCAGAAAAGGACTTACTTGGTAAGATGAAGAACCTATACCAAATATGAACCCTTCTGGAAAACTGCTCCTATTGAGAGAAGCAGTGTCAAAATGTGTGGGTGGAGCTCTAATATCAGCTTCGGTATTTGTGAAAGCAAAGCCAATTAGTAGCAGTATGCCTAAGAGAAAAGAACGTAATTGCATTGCCATAGCTTGAGGTTTTTTGTGTTTTTGTTGGTAATAATCTTGAGAAGTATAAATTGGCTCTGGCTGGCATGCTGCATGGCCTTTATATAGAGGAGGAAGTGCGTGCTGCGCATGAGGACAGTAAAGAAACCCCCCAGAACTCAACTTCTATATTCAAACACGCAATGTAATATTTGGTGCCGGCCTGATTGGTTCTCCTGATTGCCATTTGGGTCAAACTGTGAAAAGAAATTTGACACAGAATTCTTTCCTTCACAGTGTAAATTTGTAGATTGTTTAAATTCTTGGGCATAATATGTGGTCAATGAGATTGTTTAAATTCTTGGACATATTTATGGTCAAAGTAATGACATTATAACCGCTGAAAGAAAAATAACGTAATTGACAAAGTAATGACTTGTTTATCTTATTGGACTCTAAATATGCAAAGGATGAGTTTTCCATCTACGCCATCTACAGACTTGTGCAAGCACATGTGAAAATTATTATTACTTCTTCACGTTCTTCTTTCATCCCAAATTGAAACTTACCTTTCAAAATAATTTTTTTAAATTTTTTTTTAATCTCTTGGAATTTTATATGGAATCAGTGCTATTATTAATTTTGACATGCATCTACGAGTTTTTATAAAAAATACCCAAAATTTACCCCCCACTTTCAAAAATGTCAGTTTTTATAAAATCTTTCAAATATAGCAAAAAACTCACCTAAATAGACACAAATGCCATTAAAATTTAAAACCCACAGAAACATAAAATGCAAAACCCTACTACACAAAGTTTGGATTCGCACGCACGTCTGTAGCCTTTGGTAGAACTACTGCTGAGCACGCACATCTGTAGCCTTGGTTTGAAGCAATTCCAACACTCCCTAATTCAACTTACCGATCTGTAATCCCAGGTTTACTTTTCTCTCTCTCTCTCTCTCTCTCTCTCTCTCTCTCTCTCTCTCTCTCTCTCCTTCCATCTTTTTTAATTCCATGGTTTTCTGTTGGCCACTTGAAATAGTTTATTCAACTTATTACTTTTGTTTGTTGGATTGGATTTGAAGATAAAGAACTTATTAACTGTTGACCACTTGAAATAGTTTATTCAACATACCCTATTGCATTCGGAGTTGGAGACTCAGAGAATGATGCATCTTGGAATTGGTTT